CCAGGATTCAACGGAGTACAAAATAATCACCAGCACTCTTCCTATTCCCCTACTTTGTTTCTCCTTGCAATTATTGATCTACCACCATCATTCCGGATGAAAGATAATCATTTTTAACCCAAGAACAGCATTGAGGTTTCTCATTCCAGAAAAATGGATTTCAAGAACATTACTATCACCTAATGTGCCAATTCTGCACAAGACACGTCAGCCACAGAATTCTAAAAGGACTGAAATTGGACTTGCTATCAGAAGACTGAGATTATATAATTCAGTGATCTTTATCTTTTTAACATTTTCCCAAATGTGCATATTAAAAAGAAAAAACAACAACCATTTACAGCATTGTGTTCAGCTGAATAAACTCTGTGTGAATAAACTCTCTCTGTGCCACCTGAAAATACTGGCTCCCAACATTTGGGGCATTTAGTTTCTTGATTTCATTACTGTCCTCAGAATAATATTTAATTTAAAAGGTATAGGTTTTTTTGCACACAGAAATGGAAACTCTTTTCCTGTTAAAAATGGAAACAGAGTAAGATTTCAGACCGGTTTGCAATTTGAGAAATAGAAGCTCCCTGCCAGAGCCACTGCTACTTCTGCTGTGCATCTAGCAATATGAGGTGGTCTCTAATTTATACCACTACAAATCATGTAGAAGGGATACCAGCCTCAGAGCTACAATTAATCCAGTCTTCTAAAATTACAAAAATAACACAGCTTGCCTGGCGCTATAGAGCCACATGGGTCTTCTGTTATAACATCGTAATGTGAGCAAAGGATATCAAGATGAGAGGGGTGCTGATAAAGGAAAGGTATGAGCATGTTAGAAACAAACCTGACCCACTTCATGCACTGAATGTGCATCAGCCATTCTGACGTCAATGCATATTTTACAGTCCACCAGCAAGACAAGCCAGTGCTACAGCCTACTTCAAAATAACAGTCTCTCCTACCTGATCTGGTTTGAATACAGCAGCTTTACCATCCAAATGCACAAGTTCGATGCATTTATAAAGCCCATAGCCTTCCAGTATGATGTGCACAAATAGGAGCGGGAACAACTGTTTACATGGGTTGATAGTGATATGACAAGGGGGAATGTTTTTAAACTAAGACAGGGAGACTTAGGTTAGAAATTAGAAGGAAGTTTTTCACTGAGGGGTGCTGACACACTGGAACAGGTTGCCCAGGGAGGTTGTGGGTGCCCCATCCCTGGAAGCATTCAAGGACAGCCTGGATGTGGCTCTGAGATGCCTGGATTGGTGGTTGGCCCCCATCCCAGTGTTGGTCCCCACACTGCAGGGGGATTGGAACTAGATGATCTTTGAGGTCCTTTTCAACCCAGGCCATTCTACGATCTTTATTTGGCAGTTTTGTAGGAATGGAAGGCTACAGGGAGAACCTCACTATTTCATCCTCAATTCTATGCTGTAATTGCTGTTCATAGAGCCATCTCTGATAGAAAATGAAAAAGTTTTATCTGATGACAGCATAGCTTACCAACGAGATATCCAGCCACTGAGAGCTCTTAAGAAACCAGCAAAATGTGAAAGGTCCTCAAATACCTGGCTGTCTACACATAACAATTTTGGGAAAAAAAAACAAAACAAACAACATAAGTGCTAGAAAGAAATTTTAGAGGAGCTGTCTGGCTTGGCAGCCTTCAGCTGAAACTTTCTCATTGGACATTTAATCCGATTAACACCTCTTTTATTTATGCTCAAATTTAAGTTTGAAGTTTTTGTTCCCAACTCCCAGATATCTTCTAGAAAATAAGAGTATCAAAGCTCTCACTTCAAGATCTGTATGCATCCTCTGCTTCTCATCTAAGATAGAAAAGAAAGGTCCTTGGAATTCTGTCTATCCTCTTTCTTTTCGAGAATTATTAGCACAAAGCCGTGACTTTTCATGTCAGTTTCCCTGTTTAAGCAGAAGAGGTGGCAATCAGCTTAGAGTTTTAGAAACACTTGCTTCTGAATCATAGCTGAAATACAGAGGTGACTTTATGTAAGTTCCTATATTTAACTGCAAAATGTTGTATTCTAAAGAGCAAAAGCTTCAGTAAAAGACTTTGCAGCAGCAGAATAGATCAAGAGATCCCATGGCATTTGAGAAGAACCCAGAATGGCCACGAGCATCAGTGTGGATTTGTAGCTGCTTAGAGCAGTCAGCAAGGTGCAGCCCCCCACACACAGTGCTGGCAAGCAAACACCAATGCTGCAAAACTTTCTTTTGGAATAATTCATCAGTTCCTGTGCTGTGATTTTAAATTGCTAGATTAATTCTAATTAGAAAGTAATTCTAGCTGTCAGAGTTGGGATCCTGGCTGCTCTTTGTTTTTTGCACAGTTTCATACACGAACAATGAAAAAATACAAACCACTGGAAGAGACTGTTCTCAAGGACCCATGTGGTACCAAATAACTGCAAAATCACAGATGAGCCATTCTGTGGAATTAGTCATCTCTTTCCTTTGCAGAGAAAAACAAAACCGACTCAGGACTAATCATCACACAGTTTCTGGCAGGTTTAACTTTTCCCTGGTTACTTTATCATCAAAGGTGCAGACAGGAATCATAATCCATCCTGTGAAAGCTTGATGAAGATGCACAGAAGACCATGTGAATCACTACCAGTTAATGTAATCATTTACATGCATTACATATCATCTGTAGTTAACTTCTGGGGAATATAGAGCATAGGAGCAGCTGAGGTAAAGAGACAGCAGCAGCTGAGGAACCTGGGAACAACCATTTATTGGTGTTTTCATTTATTCCTGATTCTCTGGAGGACTTGGACATCAAAGCTCCCCATGACAGAGCAGTTGATGTCTTCAGTCTCCTCTGGCTCAAAATTTTCAAAATTTTGAGACACCACTACCAGTTCAGTCTCAACATTTTTTGTTATTTGCACTTAGGCCACTTTGGTTTAAAGTCCAGACATCATCTCCATCCTAAAATGCTTTCTTAGTTTTCTTCAGGTATCAAAGGCACAAAATAAGAACTCATATCAGAACTTCACCTTCTAGCTACAACAGGTTTGCTTCGTCTGACAGTAACTTTTTTTTTTTTTTTTCAACTTAACACCAGTACAAAAGTCTACAATAGAGAACAGAGAAAAGCAAAAGAAATAAAAAAGAAGCTGCTGTAAAAACTCCATAACAAATAACAATTTCTACTGCTTTATGAACATTCTTTAGAATTCCTACTATGACACGCTAAGGATCCATGAAACAGTGTTTGTTTATAAGAGTGATGAGGTGCTGGAACAGCTGCCCAGAGAGGTTGTGGATGTCCCATGGCCAGGTTGGATGAGGCCCTAGGCAACCTGGTCTAGTATTAAATGTGGAAGTTGGTGGTCCTGCCTGTGGCAGGGGAGTTGAAGATTCATGATCCTTGAGATCCCTTCCAACCTGGACCATTCTGTATGTGTGTGTGATTGCCAAGAAGTCCAGATTATCAGGCTCCGCTCTTCAGTTTTAAAGAATCAGTTTCACACACACCATCCTCTACGTCAAAACAAAACACATTACACTCAGATGTGGCTAATAAATAATTAGCTTAATAATCCATACAAGTCATGGTTCTGCAACAGACACCACTATATTTTTCTTAATTTATTCTTTACTTCTCTGTAAACATGCTAGAGGCAGGAAGGTGGTAGTAAATGAACGGAGAGAGGAAAGTACTTAACATACAGACAAAAATGAAGGTCAACACAAAAGCAACAAACACATGCAGAAGCTGGGAAAGCTACCCTCTTAATACATACACTGGTAAGAAATCCTTCTCAGTCCATTAGAAACAGCCCATTTTCTATCCAAAGATAACATGTTTTTTGACAGCCATGACTGGGTTCCTTTTATCTAAGTTTAGAGGATAAATTCTTGCTCAAGCAATATTTTGATCTCAGAGGTGCTCATTTTAAAAGACTGTTGATTCCTCATTCTGATAAAGTTGACTTGAAAAGATTTGAAAGATTCTTCCTAAGGCTGAAGTTAATCTCCAGAGATAGACTGGATGCTCAGTCTTCCCAATTTCTTCTGCAGTATCACAGAGGGAGAGGCAAATCTTCACAACAGATGCTAACCAAATGAACAGGTACTAGCTTTTCCTTTAAAATCTTTCAGGACACTATCTTCATACTCCATGAATAAAAAGCACGTGTTTTAAGATCTGCTGCCACATTTAACACTTTTCTGCAGCCTCATACTTACAGAAAACATTAGATATCCAGATACACTTTCAGCTCAGCCATTTCAGAAGTGCCAGAGAAGAAATTCAAAAGTAAAGTCATCTAGCTGTGGTCCGTAACTCAGCAATGTTTTATCACTGCATCTTCCTCAGCCAATTGAAAGTCTATTCACACTTCCTTCTCAGAACTCACAAGCTTACGCCAATACAAACCAGCTTCTTCCAGCAGTTAGTTCTCCTTTCCTGCTCCTGTCTTATTGATGACTAAAGTTCAACAGTGCTCCAAATCAAGATGTTATCTACCTTTTGCATTTCAAGTGTTTCTGGGCTAAAGTCAACATGGAAGGATTCATGGAATTGTAATGAGTTGATAACTGACAAAATTATTTTCACTGCCAGCAACATCTGCTGTACCTAAATTTATAATTAAAATGAAATCATGCATGCAAAAAAAAAATAAAAATCAATAAGCTTCCATTTTGAGTTTTTTGACATTGAAATAAGTTATTTGATTAACTCAATATTAACCTGAATGTCTGGCAGCATCACTGACATGTTATGACACCCACAAAAAATTACTCTAAAAACGTTTTTTTTTCCCCTGAATGTATAATAGAGCCAATTTAGGAATTGTTTTAGCTACGTGCACTATGATATCCATAGTGCAAAAGTATTCTATGTATTACCACTCTGATTTTCTTTGACTTACGCACAGCAGGACTTCTTAGGCAGCAGCAGCTGAGTTACTGAAAAAACACTTTCCTTAAAAATAAGGTTTTTGAATAACCCTCTACATTCTGCATACCTGCTATTTTGATGTTCATGTTGTTGTCAAGCAGAAGATTTTCAGCCTTCAGGTCTCGGTGCACAACCTTCCGGTTGTGGCAATACTCCACTGCTGAGAGGATCTGCCAGAACTTCCGCCTGGCCTCAGACTCACTGAGTCGGCCATGGCTGGCGAGGTAATCTGTTCATACAAAGGACATTTAAATAGATTAGACACCAAGCAGTAACCCTGAAAACAAGTGATTTCTCTCTGATATTTAGCACTAAGAAACTCAAGGTGTATTTCAGCCAAGTTTCTTGCTTTCTTTCCTCCAAAAACGGGAGAGAAGAACAGCTCTTGTCTAGTTAAACTCAACTCTTAGCTCTTTCATGGTTGTCCATTCTGATAAACATTTTCATGTGAGATCTCCTATGAAGCTGTTACATTCACACCTCTCTTGTGAAGCCTCAACACATGCTGTGCAGTGACTAAAAGTATTTCTTCTTTAGAAAAAAAGCAAATACCCATAAAGTACACATCCTGACCTCTCACTCATCTTCATTGCATCACAGCAGAAAGAACATTTTATTTTCATATCTGATTATGTTGTAAAACTGTTAGCCCTGAAACAAATGATAGCTCTGAAACTGAAGACATCATTTATCTGCAGGAACAAAAACAAGCGAAGCAGCAGCCGTGCAAGTCTTGACAGAAGTAGCCTCTGTAGCCAGTTCTATTCTTTCAATTCCATGGCAGAAAAACCAAGGAATCAACCATTAAGATGGCTCCAGAATTGCCTTTCACATCCTATTAAGGATGAAGCTCATGGCCAAGGTGCAGGAAATGCACGTAGGTATTCCACAGGAGAGGCAGAGCATGTTATGATGCTATACTGTAATAGAAAGCACAGCAATAAAAGCAGGGTGGCAAAGTCTAAAGCTGCAGCAAATGAGAATAAGCAAGCACAGCAGCTACAGATACAGAAACAAAGGGAAAAAGCTTACCCTCAAAAGGCCTCAGGTACACAGTGATCTCCAACAAGATCCCTCTGCTTCCCCATGACACTCGTCAACCCTTAAATGAGGTCTGGGAAGGGGTGCATCCTGGCTCTTCCCCTTCCATCACTCAGGTACACTGCATGCACCTAAGCTTTTCTGGGTTGGCCCTGCCTTCCCAACAGGTGCTCAATCACTGTTTTAAGCCATGACTCAGCATTTCTGCTATGCATGTTCACACAGCCATCTCCCAGCCACTTTCTGCAGCACAGCTAGGACTTTTGTTAGACAAAACAAAAAAGCAGTGACCAATGAACTTATGTGATTAGTTATAAGCGTTTGCTTTAATTTTTTTTCTTTTAAATTTAGATAATCTAATGTTCCTAAAATAAGTTGGTACTTTAGTTCCTAATGACATAATGTTACATGAACTTGTGATACTTTACTTCATTTATGTGGTAGGTCAGCTTACCCTCAGTGAGACAGAATACAGCCTTATTAGTTACTGTGCAAATACGGACCACACAGAATGCTAAAGGTGAAGAAAGGCAGTTCATTAGTAGATAGTTATAGTGCCTACATTATGATCAAAGGGCAAATTTCATAGCTAGAAAATCTTTTCCATCCTGCAAGTTGCGTGAGCTCACTAGAGAGAACATGCGCTGTCAAATATTCTTCTGGCATTAGTTTTTTTTTTTTTTTAAAAAAAAAAAACAAACAGAGGAGGAAAAAAGAACAGGGGGAAAAAAAAAGGACAAATATAATTTTAAAAACATAACTAACAACTTAGCTGCTAGTTTGTGATACTGCATGGAACGAGAATAAGCTGACAAAGAACCATTAGGAATATAAGACAAGGACCAGGCTTTCTGTAACCTGTGGAAAATTTGCCAAATTTGACAGATCTTCTTTAGACTCATGTGCAAGGCAACTGGCTGCAGCATACTACAAATACATCATCTTTCAGAATAAACTAGAAAAAACACAGTGAAAAAGTGACTATTCATGTCAAAGAATTGATTTGTGATATCGCTGTAGAAAGAACAGTAGATTTTGATAGAGCCATTGCCTATTGGCCAGGAAATCACCCCGTCAATTACGTACATGAGAATACTGTTCATCTAATTGGTAGTGCATACCCACCAATTCCAAAGTATAACATTTCCTTATTAGCTCTAGGTTACAGTACTGCTGCAAATGCTTACATGATGCTGTAAATACCCTGAAATTATATAGCACTATCAAGGGAAGCACCAGAAGGAAGTTGGAAACTTTTGCAGAGTGCAACATAAAATGCAGCAGGGAGCAGTCACAAACAGCCCAGTGGGTCAGCAGCACTGTCGGCAGATGATGACCTATATTCCAGGATTCACAAAACAGTCCTCAAAGTTCTGGACTTACTGGAGGGGAAAAAAAAAAAAAAAAGGGGGGGGGGGGGAAGGGGGAAGAACTCATGCTTGCCCATGCAAAGCAATTTCTACATTTTGTGACCAGTCACTGAGGAGTGGCACTCATTTCAGCAGCCCTCAAACATTTCCAGGCAGTCCCTTAGATGTCATCTCCAGGATTTGCAGAAACACACAGAACACTCTCCTCCGAGCTTCTAACCAGTTTGAGTCTCAATGCATTGTCTGCTGGCTTAACTTGGCAAAGCACAAGAATAGAACTCCTGGCAGTAGGGAAGATGATAATATTTGCATATCATTCAGTCATGAAGTGCCTGACAAATCAAATGGTATCAAAGTAAAGTCAGATATCAGATACACATTAAGTTACATGGAATACAAGCCAACCCTGTAAATTGTTAATCCATCCTGTATTAGAAATTCAACAAATTAGTTAACAAACCTAAACTGTCATTTGCTTTCACAGCTTTAGCCTGTTAGGGCTCATTTAAAGCTTCCAAACCACATTCAGCACTATTCCTGGCCTTGCATTTTCCACCGAGTCTAGTCACCTGCATGAAATAGGTGATCTATCATGAAATGCACTGCTTTCTCTCCTGGAGACATAGAACATACCACAATCATATTTTAGACACTCTCTCCTTTACATTTCCAGGGTATAGAAGAGAAACAAGCATCTGAAAAGTACATACTTAGGGCACAGTCACTTTGTCACACGTCACCTATCTGACAGATGAGGGAAAAGCTGTTGATGTAGTCTACTTAGACTTCAGCAAAGCCTTTGACACTGCCTCCTACAGTGTTCTCCCGCAGAAGCTGGCAGCCTGTGGCTTGGACAGGTACACTCTCGGCTGGGTAAGGAACTGGCTGGAGGGCCAGGCCCAAAGAGTGGTAGTGAATGGAGCTAAATCCAGCTGGCAACCCGTCACGAGTGGTGTTCCCCAGGGCTCAGTGTAGGGGCCTGTCCTCTTCAATATCTTCATTGATGACCTGGATGAGAGCATTGAGTGCATCCTCAGAAAGTTTGCAGAAGACACCAAGTTGGCTGGAAGTGTGGATCTGCCTGGGGGTAGCGAGGCCCTGCAGAGGGATCTGGACAGGCTGGAGAGCCGGGCTGAAGCCAATGGGATGAGGTTCAACAAGGCCAAATGCCGGGTCCTGCATTTTGGCCACAACAACACCAAGCAACACTACAGGCTTGGGGTAGAGTAGCAGGAAGACTGTGTAGAGGAAATGGACCTGGGGTATTGATTGATGCTCAGCTGAACGTGAGCCAGCAGTGTGCCCGGGCAGCCAAGAAGGGCAATGGCATCCTGGCTTGCATCAGAAAGCGTTACCAGCAGGAACAGGGAAGTAATTATCCCCCTCTACTCAGCACTGATGAGGCTGCACCTTGAATACTGTGTCCAGTCTTGGGCCCCTCACTACAAAAAAGACATTGAGGCCCTGGAGCAGGTTCAGAGAAGGGTGACAAAGCTGGTGAGGGGTCTGGAGCACAAGCCTTAAAAGGAGCAGCTGAAGGAGCTGAGATTGTTTAGTCTGGACAAGAGAAGGCTCAGGGGAGACCTTATTGCTCTCTAGAACTACCTGAAAGGAGACTGTAGTGAGCTAGAAGTCAGCCTCTTCTCTCGTGTAACTGGTAATAGGACTAGGGGGAGCGGCTTCAAGCTGTGCCAGGGGAGATTCAGGCTGGATGTCAGGAAATAGCTCTGAAAGAGCGGTCAGGCACTGGAATGGGCTGCCCAGGGAGGTGATGGAGTCACCAACCCTGGAGGTGTTCAAGGAATGTTTGGATGTTATATTGAGGGACATGGTTTAGTGAGAACCATTGGTGATGGGTGGATGGTTGGATTAGATGATCTTGTGCATCTTTGCCAACCTTGGTGATTCTGTGATTTAGTGGAGGGTTGTTAGAATTGGGGTAGTATGTTTAGGTCATGGTTGGACTCAATAATCTCTAAGGTCTTTTCCAACCTGAGTGATTCTATGATTCTATGAGACGTGATATGAGCTCTACACAAGGATGAGTCTTTATCACTTGTTTGGAGGTCTCATGCTAAAAGCCAACTATAAGCCACTAGAGGAAACTGAAAGCCAAGATCAAACTAAATGTTACCTAAACTTCAGCCAAAAGCAGTAAATTCCTTTAAGTAGTTAGAAGTTAAATCAAACATAAGTCACCCAAAATGTCACCTTGAACACCTATGGTGTTTGTTATGTCTACAGATTTAAAACTGTGAATGTAGTGAGGATGTCAGACAGCAGGAAGAAGAGTGAACTGCTTCCACAGTAGTAGAGGCAATCACAACTGGCACTGAGGATATTCATCCCCACCTTGTTGAACAGTGGGCTTATTTTTAGGATTAACAATCAGCTTTACCCTCCACATTCTTACCCCTGTGTTGCAATATAAAGAAAAAATAAAGTTCACTCGTGAAAAAAATATAGGGAATGAGTCCCTCAGAATAGGTGCACTGTGATTAACTGACAGTTAATCGAGGCAAACTCAGTGCACCCAACGAAAGATTAGGATGGGAAGGAGAAAAAGCTCACAAGGCTTCAGTCTCCTGTCTGCTTTTCTCCCTCTCCTTTTATTGAATACCACCTTGGATTTTCTCTATTTCCCAGTTACATAAAGTTGACCTAAACATACTATCTTTCTTACAACAGATAGTTCTATGATAAGGACCTCAAGATGAAAAAGAAGATAAATCAAACAAGAAGAAAGTACTTTGACCATTTGATTTGCGTCCATGAAATCCACTCCGTGGCCCACAGTGCAAAAAATTACATTAAGTCAGGCTCCACCTCTTCTGTTCTCCAATCATTAGGGCCAATCATTAGGTGAACTCTATTCTAATGCCCCTCAGAGTTTGTTCTGCCTGGCAGTGTTGTTGAGTGTCAGTGAAACTTTTTCTCAGCAACTCCAATTTTGTAACTGCAAATGTAAAATGTATGAGAAAACTCCAGGTGCCTGGATGTCAAGCATAAAGTCACAAAATCAGTCTTTACAAAGCTCAGTCCAGTTCTTAAACCAAGCAACAGTACCTGTGATACACAGAGTACTCCAGATGACAGCATACCAGTACGTCAATCTCTTATCTTTTTTTCATTACATATTAACTCCATCTCTCACATATTACAGAAAGATGCTACATGTAGTCTGAGTCACAGGTCAGTATGACTGGCTTTCCATAGTAGTAGCCACACAGTTTTTCCACATCTACAGGAAAAACACTAATACTGCTTCAGACATCTGAGTTGCTCCAGGAATCTCTTCTGATTCCACCCACTTTCCTCCACAGACAGAAAGTAACAGTTCGTGACCAGCATACATGTCAACAGTGTTCTCTATGCCTGTGCAACAGAGATTTTTTTTCTCCAGTTTAAACAAACTTCCAGGTCAAAACCCACCATCTCACCACTGTAATTCACTATCATAGCTTTGCCTTTATACTATTCCTGGGAATGTAATTTTTGCTGTTAAATACTGAATTAACACTTCCATCCAGCACCATGAATAACATCTTTCTACCCAGAACGGGCCCAAAGTCTAGATAAACCTGATGAAAAGGTGCAGTAATTCAATCTCTCCTCCTGCAGATTTTTAATAAAAACATCACCTCTCTTCATTTTTCAACTTTACCATCAGCTTCACATCTGGAAAGTGAGACACTACAATACATGAACCAGATTGAGAGCACATTAATTCCAACTGCACAGCAACCAAAGTTCCTTTAGAGCAAAAATTTATGTTGGAAACTCAAATTGTAGCAGCTTTTCTTTAAGTTATTTGTTCTAAAATGTGAAGCAGTACCAGCTGTCATGAGCTTTTCTAGACAGATAAGGGGAAGAGTACATACCACAAAAAAAAAAAAAAAAAAAAGCCCTGAACAACTGAACAAAATCAATGCAATTAACTAAGTGCAGAAGTTAATGGTAAAGTGCTGGGCATTTGGAATGGAAAACATTCTCTTACCAAAAATTTCTCCATTTTTGGCAAATTCTGTCACGAGGTACAGCATGTTTTTTGTCTCCATCACCTGTTGATGGAGAAATTGCACATTAAGTTATTATTCGTTATATAATTATTTCTTATAATTTATTATATATTATTAATATATTTCTATATATATTATTAATTTATTATATAATTATATAATTATTTGTTACAGTATAACAGAGAGCTTGGCTATGCAGCTGTTACACCAAAGCAGGAAACAAAAAAGATGGGTACCCATATCCTGGGCTCGCATGGGAAACTCTGACGAAGTGGAACTCCCAAGGAGATCCTTCCCCACTGGCAGCCAGCTCTTAAATGGGCCTAGGAGAGGTGCAGCCAGGCTCCACCCCTTCCGGCAGCACAGGTGCATTGCCTTCACCTGTGCTCCATGGCTGACTCATTGCTTGCCTCAGGTGATCAATCAGAGGTTCAGCCTGTGATTCAGCAGTTCTCATAGACCATGTATCAATGCAAATTAATGCCCAAAAAGCTGAAATTGTGAGCTGCTGATAGGCAGGAAATGAAGTCTTCAAACAGGAGCAAAGAGGGAGAATTGAACAGCCGGTGTTACCATACCTGGTAGAGCTTTATGATGTGTGGGTGATCCAACATCTTCATTATCTGCACCTCACGGTAGATCTTTTCGAGATTCACAACATCCAGCTGAGATTTGTCAATGATTTTTATTGCCACCTGCAGCCAAAAAACAATAGAGAGATTAGAGCTCTCCCTGATTCTTTTATCCTTGTTATAAATACCAAATCCCAGATAGATGAGAGCTTTCTCCTAGCTCAGAAACACATATCCCACACTTTAGCCTTTAGACATGAAGCAGCACAGTCCAAGACATGGCCATAGTGCCATGGGGGAATTCACAGGATGCTCTGCCAGCAGCATTCCAACTCCATACCTGCAAAAATGGTACTGAAAAAGAGAAAGCATTGGCTCTACACAGAGTCAAGACATAGTGGCTGCACATAGTTCTAACAGTGAGGTGCTTATTTAAAGTTTGATTAATATGCTGTTACACAGGGACGTCTGCAATTCATCTAGTCAGTGAAAAAGCTCTGTAACAGAAATGCTAAGTCACAGTCTGAACCAGTGATTGAAGACCTGGTGGGAAGGCAGGGCCAGCCCCGAGCAGCTCAGGTACATGCAATGCACTGAGCGATGGAAGGACTGGAACCAGGATTAAACCCTTCCCTGACCTCATTTAAGAGTTGGCAGCAGAGGAAAAATGTATCTTGCTGGAGATCCTTGCCTACTTGAGGCCTTTCAAGGTAAGCTGCTTTTTTTTTTTCCCCCCCATCTCTGTTTGTTTCAGGTTGCTGAAACAGCTGCTGCATTTGGGCTTGTTCTCATTTGCTGCAACCAAAGAATTTGCCACCCCACTACTATCACTGTACTTTCCATTACATTATAGCATTACAAGCTCCACAGAGCAGATGAGTCTGTAGGTCAGAGCTCACCAAAAGATCCCAATTAGTTTAGAGAACAGATCTTGGTCCTGATGGCTTTGTTTTTAGCCAGTATCTGCAAAACATGTTACAGAGGACTGCACTTGCTTCAGAGACTAAAAGTTTTAAACAGGAAAAGGTTTAAAAAAAAAAAAACAACAAAAAAAAAAACACCATTTTTTCTTAAAATCAAGAAGTAACAAATATATAGCTGCTAAAAACCATGAAAAGGATTAGAATATGAAGATTATTAAATACCGAGTAGTGTTTATTCATCCTAAAGGTCTCGTTGTTAATGCTGAGGTGGGAACAAGCAACGTAAATCTGACAACTTCTGACAATGACCATGTTTACAAAGCGCTGAGCAATAGCAGACAGCTGCTGTGCAGGAGGAAAACTGCTGCAGAGCAAAGGATGAGCATTCTTCATGCAGCTTAAGAGCTGCACACACACAGCTCAGAGTCTCCACAACCTGGTAGAAAGATCACACCTCAAACTCAGTATTCTTTTACTCCCAGAAACCAGGAAGAAATCCCTTCACTACTTCACTAGATAGCTACAGAATAACAAAGTAATCAAAGCAAACCACTTGAGCCGGACCAAATTCTTAAGCATAATTGAGAAATATTTATTAAAAAACAAGCCCAAGTCTCACTTCTCCACTTCTTCTCCTTTATTTTCTGCTCTCTCTGGAATCCCCCAAATGAGATGGTTTCTTGTTCCTCCTCCACCATCTGTCTGCTCAGCAGCTGGTACAGAGTGACCTCCGAATTCAAGAGATATGGAAACCACTCTTTCTCATTTACAAACCAACAAACCTGCAGCTACCTTGCATTCCTGCCTCATGCCAGTGTGCAATGAAATGAAGTGCAATGAAATCCTGCTGCTCTGCTTAGTATTTAAAGTACATGGCAACCTGAGGATTGACACAGCACCACACTCAGCAATTTGAGGTATTGACAGCAGCTTCTTTCCTCCCAACTCACATCACTCCATGCAGAAATCTTACCCAAGATCCAGAACTGAACTCCTGCATGCCCATCCCTTTTCAGTGCTTCTTTCCCTTACTGCACACACAAAAAAAAGACAGTAACTTTCTCCTATTTACTCTCCTTACACATAGGAAACACATGCAGTGCAAGGAAGCTAATAAAAGCAGATCTCTGCAGAACTTAAAAGCAAAGAGGTTTTGTCTAGCAGAGAAGAGGAAAAAAAAAATTTGAAAAAAAATCAATAAAACAGTAGACTGCAAAGTAATAAAGAGCTTTTGGACAATTTGAAGGAAATAAAACAGGCTGTCCTCTAGGGCTCACACTGTACCTTTATCTACCCATCATTTGATTCACACCGATATTTATACTTCCTTCTCCTATACTTCCCACCCTCCAAGTGAGCATAATGGGGAGTCCTGCAGATGGATGGTTCTTTGTTGCTACTTTTTTCAACAAAGCTTGACTTACGTCACCTCATCCTATTGAGAAAAGCCTGTATCTGTAGGTACACAGGGTCTTGGCATATTTTCAAGTGTAGTCTGGCACTGCCACAGTATGATCTTAAATTTTAAGTACTGTTTTTACTGATAGTAAAATACACAGGCTGTTGCTACTCCAAAGCCCACCTACAAATGGCAGGTAATAAATATCCCAAGAATGGCCCTGAACTTGGCAGCTCCCAGCTTCCAACATCTCTACAGGGTGCCAGCCAACTTTTAACTTTGTTGTCCTAGATACAGAAGGATCTATTTCCCCAGAAAAACCCAGATAAATGTATCCTTTAATTTTTGTCTCATAACGTGAAGTTATTTGGCCTTATTAAGTAGTTGCTTTTTTCGAGACAAAGTAAAAAGCATGTGGCTGCCTGAACTAAAAAGAAAAAAAAACTATTAACCATCCTGTACAACTCTGAGTACTAAAGTTGTCTCTGCGCATACAGTCGCAGGCTTCCACGTGAAGAGCAGCACAGCAGCAGCTGGCACCAGTGCTCTGCAGTCAAATGCAGATTAGATAGCTTGGTCTATTCTGAACCCTCAATATCCATGCATCTCACAAAGTCCCTGGGTGGCTCAGAGGAGAACCTCTTGGAAATCCATGAAATCCAGCAACTCCGTCACTACATCATGAGGAGGAGCTAGCATTCAGCAGCAACACTTTTGTCCTCAGCTATGTCATGATGACAGGAAAAGGGGAAATAATTATTAGAGGTGAGGAGCTGTTTCAGGACGAGGAAGTTTCCTATCTGAAAAGTATGTTTTGTTTCTGGCTGCGCAGCTTGCCAGCAACCACCTGCAACTTAGTGAGGACTGCAGCACCACTGAGCTTCTAAGAACAGTGCAAGGAGACCACCTCCACCTGTCGGTGAGTTCCCATTGCTCTGGTGTGCTCTGTCATTGCCACAGCCAAACGGACCCTAATCAGAATCATAGAATCACAATGTTGGAAATGACCTATAAGATCATCTAGTCCAACTGTCTTCTCATTACCATTGCTACCACAATCTACTAAACCATCTCTCACAGCACCTCATCCAGACACCTCTTGAACACTGCTAGGGACGGCAACTCCACCACCTCACTGGGCAGCCATTCCAGTGCCTGACCACTCTCTGAGAGAAAAAGTTTTTCCTCATGTGTAACCTTAAACTCCTCTGATAAAACTTGCAGCCATTTCCCTGAGTCCTGTTTGTTGCCTGGGAGAAGAGGCCAAACTTTTCTTCATCACAGCCTCCCTTCAGGAGGTTGTACAGTGCAGTGAGGTCTCCCCTGAGCCTCCTCTTCTCCAGACTAAACAATCCCAGCTCCCTCAGCCATTCCTCCTAAGACTTGTGTCCAGACTCCTCACCAGTTTTGTTGCCCTTCTCTGGACACGCTCCAGGGCCTCAATGTCTTTCCTATAGTGAGGGGCACAAAATGGAACACAGTATTCCAGGTGCAGTGCAGCCTTACCAGTGCTAAGTAGAGGGGGGTGATCACCTCCCTGCTCCTACTGGCCACACTATTTCTAATGCAGGCCAGGATGCCGTTGGCCCTCTTGGCCATCTGGGCACACTATCAGCTCCTGTTCAGCCAGGCATCAAGCAACACCCCCAGGTCCTTCTTCTTCACAATCACCCACCCAACTCATTCCCAAACCTATAACACTGCATGGGGTTGTTGTGGCCAAAGTGCAGGACCCTACACTTGGCCTTATTGAACCTCATCACCTCAGCCCAGAGATCCAGCTTATCTAGATCCCTCTGAAGGGCCTCCCTACCCTAAGGCAGATCAAATTAGGGACAATTATACACACATTCTCATGTTTTATTCTATCTTAAATAAAGGCCATCATTCCTCCTAAAAAGGGTATGAAAACCCCAACCAACCGAAGAAAGAATACATACTTCAAGACATCAAGGTGACCAACAAAAAGAAGAAAACACAGTTTTATTGCTGTTTGTTCCCTTTTCCCCCCCCTTTGCAATTTTTGCTACTTAAAGACTTAAGAAAGCTGCAAAGATATTTTGGAACATTGCTTATTTTTAATTTAAAAAAAATATTAGGGATAGCACAAACCTCCTTCCCTCTTTTGCTAGAGAACTGCTCAGCCCTCTTCTGGAACTGGGAACTGAAACTGTCAGCAGCATAGCTGAAATGCTTGTCAGAGGAAAAGAAGAGAGCAGTCCTGTCTTTCAATCACTCCAGCTTTCTGTTTCTGTTGTTTTTATATTACCCGTTTAATTTTTGGAGCAGTCTTTCCAAAACCACCCACACCCAAACACTGCACAAGAAGTTCATGTAGAGATTGTCCGTTTGAACTGTAAGGCATCACCCAGATTAGAAGGATTCAGCTGTGAGTTGCTAACCCAATACATCTGAAAAGTAGATAAGAGGCATTAAAATCATCAAAAATCTAGAGTCTGTGGCTGCAGGATCCGCAACCAGAGGGTTTTTTTTTGTTGTTGTTGTTATTGGCAACCGTTTCAGTTTCCCACAGAATTACTCTTGTAACCTGAACTGAGACTTGATTCTTTGGCGGATTATTGACAGAACTGTCCAGGTGGTACCTTCATCTGTCCCCAACAGCAAACAGAAGCATAACATTACCATACAAATCTTCATCATATTTCATCACAAGCCAATATATGCCTTCCTAAACTTGATTTGTCCAGCTTTTCTCATCCTTTCTTAGTCTCTTCTCCTTCCAAGGAAAATTTCTACTTATCTATTCTGCATATTTCACTAAGAACAGTTACTCTGAGATCACAGGATTTCTTGGCAACATGATAAATAAGCATAGCAGGAAAACACATGCATTAACTTCAACAGCAACAAACACACAAACAAGAAGCCACAAAGAGGTCACTCCAGCACGGGTGGTCACCATCAGTGGGGATCAATCCCATGTGCACATATATGCATGGTGAGCTCACACCAAGCCAAGGGAGCGTGGTGCAGACCTGCAGCACTCACGTGCGCATTCAAAGCAACACTGGCCACAATCAGCTGCACTGGAATACTCAAGAGTGATCTCAACAGAATTCCTCTTCACCAGCGACCAATAAATGCACACAGAGCCAACCTGGCACTTCAGCTGCAGCATGTCAGCACGCTGTCCCGAGAAACAGCCTGGGTATGTCTGACATAGCAACCTACCTAGAGACTGCTTGGGATACAGTGGTTGCAGAGGAACACAAACCTCATTAGGAAGGGAGAGCTGGATGACAGGCTGGTACCAAAGGGGAACGCACAGGAATTCAGCTGTTGCTTAGAGTACAGATGAAAAAGTCAAAGCAGAGTTGAGCAGCCATCAGGCTCTGTCTGCAACCTTTGATATTTTGAACAGTAAACAAACACACATTCCAAAACAACAAATAAAAACTAAAACAAAAAGTTTTGCTCTCATGGCAGTTGGACAGACAAAAGTGAAGAACTGTTACCTGCAAAGGAGTGTGCAGCACATGAAGGCATGGCACCAGACCAGTAGGCAGTGAAACCTGAAACCAGCTCAGCCCAGCAGTAGTGGCACTGAGGGATTTACCATCAATGTTCTGAGTACTGGGCAGCTTAGGAAACAAGAGTTAGGGAAACTTGGTGCTGAGGATCCAGCACTGGTTTGTATGGCATGGGCACAGCAGCAAGGGCATAGCATAGAGTTGTGATGACCTGAAGGCCACACGTGGGGCGTTTTCTAAAGCCGGGTTCACCACGCAGGACCACAGCAGCTCCTACGGACCCTGACCCCGAGCTCCGCCTGCTCCTTGGGGGCAGCGCTTCTGGAGGGCCGCAGAACCGCCATAGGACCGTCCAGAGGCGCACGGTACCCGTCCCAGGCGATAGTTCCGCGTCGCGGGCGGCCGCGGGAACACCCGTACTGGGGGGAGGTGTTACACAAAGGCACCGCGAAACGCAGGAGGCGCTGCGGGGGCACGCGTCGTCGTCCCGGCGGGGCAGTGTGGCCTCAACGCTGGCTGGGACGGGCCGCAGCACCGCGGGGCTCAGCCGGACCCAACGGGAGCGGAGTGGGGACAGCACCCGAGCCCCTGGCAGCGGCACGGGCTGGGCGCGGCCGCTCCGCTCCTCCCGGCCCTAACCGCCTCCCGGCCCCAAGGTTGCCGGTCCTAAGATTGCCAGCCCCAGCAGAACCCGAACGGACCCGCGGCCGCCGTCTACCCGCAGCTAAGCTCGCAGTCCACAGCCCAGGCCCGGGAGAGGAGCGGGGGCGGCGGGGCCGCGCCTCACCTCGCTGCGCGTGATGCGGTGCCGCGCCAGCTTGACCACGGCGAAGTTACCCTTGCCCAATGTGCCCTCTATGTCGTAGAAGCCGACGCGGACGGGCCCGGGCCCGCGGGGCAGCAGCGGGGGGGGCCGCCGAGGCTCGGCCATTACCATGCTGGGCGCAGGGGGCGGCAGCGGCTCGGGCGGCTCTTCTCTGTCTGCGGCGCCCCGCGGGCCGAGCCGCCCCGCCCCCTGCGCCCGCCTCCACCAACCGCGCGTCACTGCGCGCGTCACGGGGGCGGGGCGTCGCCGCGGCAACCGTGCGCGGGGTGAGGGCGGGGCTTCGCAGCCCCTCGGGTGCCTCCGACCACTCCGCCGCGGCCCAGGAGTTGCAGAGTGGTTGCTTCTGGCTTCACTCGCGGGTAGGCGTCGTCGGGAATCTCTGCGCCGATGCCGCCGGGTTGGAGCAGCATGCGTTCTTTGTGCTTTCCCTGTCGGGGAGCCTCTTGCCGTAGGCGTAGCCGGCCCCGGGCTGAGCGAGGCCTTCGTATTCCCCACAGTATCTCCGGCAGCCTGGAAACAGCCGTGGGGCTGCCGCGCCCTTTTTGTTCCGCGTCAGGGGGAGAGAAAGCGATGGCACCCACTCTTCTGACACATCCGATTTTTGTTTCAGAACTCTTAGACGCTGACTGAACTTTCAGATTGGATATTAGAGAAGGTTTCGTCTCCAAAGTACTGGCGTTGGACTGGCGCAGACTGCCCATGGAGGTGGTGGAATCCTACCACCCATCCCTTCTGTCATCCCAGAACCATGGGGATGTGGCGCTGGGGGGGTGTGGGCAGTGACCATTGGTGGGGGTGGGTTGAGCTTGGCATTGTGGGTCTCAGAGGTCTTTTCCAACCTGGAATGGTTCTGTGACTCCATGAATAATTCCAGCATGATACAAGCTCGGTGTGATCAAAGCAGCCCTACGTTGCTGTATGGGAACTGTTGATCTTGGCATGAACCACTGATTGAGCACCTGGGGAAAAGACCCAGTCAACCCTGGGAGCACAGGTGAAGGCAGTTCAGCGATGTGACCAGAAGGAGTGGAGCATGGCTGCACCTCTCTTAGACCTCATTTAAGGGCTGACTGCCACTAAGGAAGGTTCTCTGGTTAGAGATCTATCCCTTGTGGAGTCTTTCTAGTGAGCTGAGATTTTCAGAGACAGGTGAGCACTTTTCTAATATCCTTCTATTGTACTGGTCTCTTTCCTATTGCAATTGTATAAAACACTATTTAACTTTTTTCTTAGTCAAAAATTAGTTTTTACTGCTTTCATGTAAGTCTTATAACATTGGTCCGAAAATCACTTTTTATTTGTGGGAAAGATCTTACTTTGCAGGAACTTTAAGCGCTGCACGGTATGATGTCGCTTTTGGCCCGAAATTCCTGTTGTAGAAGTATTTCTTCACTATGCTAGAGGGACCATAGTTACAAAAACGTCCTTAAGTGCCTCTCAGCAGCATCGGTGTTCTTCACAGGGTAGGCAACTCTCGCTGTAGCTCCGACAGCTATGGAGCGCTCGTGCCCTCTCGCGGTCAGTGTCTCTGTACCCCGCACTGCTCGAGGTACTCCGCCGCACCGCGGTGGCTGAGGCTGGGAGCATTGCCTGGGTTACGTGCCTGAAGTAGGATAGGGCGGCTTGCAGTAGATAGAAATAAAGCTAGGCTAAGAACCAGGATTGCTATCTCTATCTGAAGCTGTGGATAAGAGGCAGGCGGTGCTACTTTTTCCCAGCTCCAGACCAGCACCCTGGCATTACATCTGGCAGCCTGTAATTGGGCTTGTATTTTAATCTGTAAAATGAGGACAAAACACAACAGTGAATACTAAAGTACTGAAGTTTCTAAGGTTGAGCTGATGGAAGATATTGGTTGTGAAGCAACAAAACTGCAGTGTGTTGGACTGCTGGATAATATCCACCATGACTAAATGGAAGAGCAATTTAAGATTTTACAAAAAACTGGAGAGACTTCAGAAGTAACATACGCGTGCTATTATTCATAAAGCTTTCTGTTTTTGTATTTTTGTTTTGGTGTCAAATTTCTTTGCTACCAAATTTCCTTACCGGGCTGTATAGGGGATCAAGCCACTGACAATAGTGAGAATGGAATTCAAGGAGCTGCTGTTTATTACAGGCTGCTTTGTAACAGTTTAATGCAAAATTGTTCCAGTGGTAAATGTAAAACTAGCCAGAAAAGTTTACGGCACCATGTAAAGTAAACTAAAAAACCGATTCAGTTTGCAATTACCACAGCATACTTTCTCAAGGAGTAAGTTTCTACGAGCGTATTTCAAACAGCGAGCCACATCAGACGATTAGCCCAGCCGTTCCCAGACCAGCACCCGCGCACCGCAGCGCCTCTGGCTCGCGCGGCAGCACGGGCGCAGTGCGCCAGATCGCGCGTTCCAGTGTCCTTCGTCTCGTGACACGAAGGGGGTTGGGAAGTTGGTCACGTGAGGAGCTCGACCAACATGGCCGCCTACCTGCAGTGGCGCCGCTTTGTCTTCTTCGACAGAGAGATGGTGAAGGAGCCGCCGGGGCCGGAGGGGGCTGGTGGGAAGCCCTTCGTGTTGCCTCCGGGCATCACGGTCTGTGATTCAGGCCGGGGTAACCTTGTGTTCGGAGATATCCTGTGCGGCGGCGGCAGGAGTGATGGGGCCGGGCCATTTGGCCTGCACTGGGTTCGTGGGCTGCGCCGCGAGGAGAGATCTGCGCTTTGTGGCGCGGGCTGAGCTCCGAGGCGGGCCTAGTAGTGCTCCGGAGTCGGGTATGCGACAGCTTCTTTGGCTTCTCTGCCCCTTGCACGTTACAGAACTGTTGTCACCTGTTTTGGTTCTCGTAGGTGGCAGCAAAAGTATATTTGCTGTAGGCTTCCCAGAGGTCAACAACAAGGAGCTTTTAAGATTTTGATTCTGGTGTTCTTAGAGGTGTGGGTGGTGGTGAGGGTTGTTTTTCACTTCATTTTTACCTTTTCCTTTATATTCCTTAATTGTGATGTACATATGGAAGGTCGAATCTGGTTTTTGCCTCGCTCACTTCAACTCAGTGGTTTCCAAGCTTACAAGTTAAGGGTAACGCACCTATACCAGCTGAAGCAGCACAGCATCTTAGTTTCTGTTGGTGAGGATGAAGAGGGCATTAACCCATTGGTAAGTTAAATGGCAAAGGAAAAGATACTGGTATTATAGTTAATTATTAAGTAGTTTGTTTCTAATATCTCATGTTTTTGTTTTTTGTTTTTTTTTTGTTAATGTAACATTTATTGTTTTGAGGTTAAAGTATGGAATCTGGAAAAACGAGATGGTGGCAATCCTCTTTGCACACGAATTTTTCCAGCGATACCCGGTAACAAGCCCACAGTTGTGTCCTGTCTTACTGTCCATGAGAATCTGAATTTCATGGCTATTGGTAAGTATTGCTGACCTGTAATAATTTAAGAAATGTATTATTGTCTCTATTCTGATGTATGGAAAATGAATGTGTAGAATTCTTTTCATACCGAGGGGTCGTGTATTATGTGCTACTGGAGGCCTTAAGGAAATAAATACATAATTTTAGCTTATGATTGTAACAATTTTGATATCTCGCAGAGAAGCAGATCTTTTCAGTTGATGTTTTTTGTTCCTGCAAGTCAATAAGTGTATGATAATAATAGTTATAGACAGTCTAAGTTTAGTACCAGCACAGAGAATAGCGTTGGTTTTTTTTCATAAATAATGCTAGGGTGTTTTTCCCCCCTCTCCTTCCTCCCCCCACCCCACCCTCCCCCACCCCATATACTGTGTGGAAACTTTCTTAAAGCCCACAAAACCAATCTCCATTTGTTCTGCTTTAATTGTGCCTTTTTAATGTTGCTTGCTTAAAATAAGAGCGGGAATGTAGCAAGGCTATAAACTGTTTCTGCAAGTTAGTCCTGCATTGAAATTAAGTCTTTCCATTATTAGTGCTGTGACTTGGAACAGTTTGCTGGATTGATGCTGTCAGCAAACTGTGAAAACTGTTTCTTTGTGTGTAGTGTGCTTTGAGTAAGTGAGATAACTGATAGTTAAAATTAGATGATGAAAGGGCTATTCTTAAAGCTAAATATAGGAAGACCCAAACAAAAACAACCTGCAAGTGAAGTTCATGATGGGGGAGAACAAGTTGAGCATCGAACAGTGACGTCACGTATGGGGAGAGATTGGTAGGTATTTAATTGAGAGCCTGCAGCAGTCTAGGAGCTTGATACTTTGCTGGCAAGCAGATTTTTGTCATTGGCTGCATCTGTACTAACTTGCCCTGGATAATATTTCAAGTCTGCCACAGAAGTGAACAGTTTGATCTATCCTTTTCAAAAGGTTTTGCAGATGGGAGTGTTGTGCTTACAAAAGGAGACATCACTCGAGATCGCCATAGTAAGACCCAGATCCTACATGAAGGCAGTTACCCAGTTACTGGTCTTGCTTTTCGACAGTCTGGCAAAACAACGCATCTGTTTGTGGTGACCACAGAGAACATTCAGGTGGGAAATTAATTTGAAAAAGTGAGAATCTGACTTACAATTGCACTGCCTTCAGTGACTATTTCAGGTAAGCCCCAAAACCTTGTATTTTCTCCGTAGTCCTATCTGCTTTCTGTGAAAGACTATTCTCATCTGGAGCTGGACACTCATGGCTGTGGATTGCACTGTTCTTCTCTGAGTGACCCCTCCCAGGACCTCCAGTTCATTGTAGCAGGAAATGAATGTGTATACCTTTATCAACCAGATGAACGAGGCCCCTGCTTTGCTTTTGAGGGACAAAAGCTGATTGTTCACTGGTATCGGGGGTACCTCATCATTGTCTCCAAGGACCGAAAAACTTCTCCTAAGTATGTTTCCTTGGAATAGTTTAATTTCCTATTTAATTGTTGCAGTTTCTGGCTTTCCCTCTTTTTTTTTTTTTTTTTTTTTTCCCTTCCCTGTGAAACTTTGCTCTAGGGACTGATGATAGTGTTGTCAATGAGATTTAAGATGAATCAAGACCCAAAGACTAACTTCTGTTGCTAGTGCAGTGCAGTCAAGCATGCTGAACATGGGGGATTTCTTTCTGCTCGTGTTAACGTTTCAGTCTAGCACATCAATCACACTCGTGGATAAATAGGTGATGTTTTGTATATGGCTCCACCTCGTTTAATTGTCAAGACGCTTCTCACTTGTTCTCTCAGCATCCTTAGATTGTGTAGGTATTAAATGTATTTGGGCCATATGAACCTTATTTGCTAAAAATCTAAAAAACTTTCTTCTGCTCTCCAGGTCGGAGTTTGCTGGAAACGAGGCACAGAATTCAGACAAACAAGTTCTGAATATCTACGACTTGTGCAACAAATTCATTGCGTACAGTTCAATCTTTGATGATGTAGTAGATGTCTTAGCAGAATGGGGTTCTTTGTATGTTCTGACCAGAGATGGGAAGATCCACGCACTGCAGGAGAAGGATGCCCAAACCAAACTTGAGGCATGTGAATCTGTTATGTTATTAGTTTGCTTTATGTCTGTGGGGGGGCTTGTACTGGCTATACAGATGAAAGAAGTGGAAGGGTTCAGGTAGACGAGTTACAGCGTAACAAGTGACTTCCCAACTCTCCAACGTAACCAGTGTGCAGAGCCTCACTGTATGTACCTGTCCAGCACCAAAGAGAAACAGATTGTTTTCCAGGCAGGTTTTGGGATGTGGTATTTCCCTCATACTGCTCTTATGCTGAATTTTAATAGATGCTCTTCAGAAAGAACTTATTTGAAATGGCCATTAATCTAGCCAAGAGTCACCACTTGGACAGTGATGGCTTGTCAGAGATTTTCCGGCAGTATGGTGATCATCTCTATAACAAGGGGAACCACGATGGAGCCATCCAGCAATATATCCGGTAAGCAGTGGTTGTTCAGAGCAAGGGCAGTGTAGCATAGATGGGAGCTTACGAGAGTCTTGATTTTTCTGTTTAAGCCCTTGGAGCCAGAAGGCGTGACTCATAGTGAAAGTTCTGCAAATAGAGAGGAAAATACAGGTCAAATTGGGATGGAGTGGGGACAGATAATGTTACTGTAATCAGAGGATTATTCTCTCTTGGAATGCTGTGTACCGTACAAGTTATTGTGTATGTAAAAGGACATTGTGAAATTGTAGAATGTGAAAGTTTATGTAAGTACAAAAAGCACTGTCAGTGTGAAGATGCAGTGTAAGGTGGGCAGTGTGATTTGATCAGTATGGCAGTCTTTTTGGAATATGATCATACTAATATCAGTTTACACATGTCAGGTTTTATAATAATTAGAGCAGTCTGTTCTCAGGCTTACTAAAAACTTGTAGTGCTACATTCATGTAGAACCGAAATTCTGGAGTCCTATACCCAGGCGATGTCAGCACATCGAATTGAAAACTTGCCCCAGGTAGTGGGGTAACTGTGGCTAAACTGCTGCATGTGGGTGTGAGCGCTCAGATAAGACTGAGTTACGTGACTAAAAGAAAGGAAGATTAGTCTTATGTTTCAATTAGCTGTGGCTGGAGTGCAGCTCATCTTCTCATGGGAGCCTTTAAAAGAACACAAACTTCCTATGTGCTACTGATGTCTTCTCAGTTTCAACCTTCATAGAGATGTTTATTTCTGTGTGGGTGGTCTTGGAGCATAACTGCTTGTTGCTGTTATAGCTGAGTGGTCACAGGTGAGTTAGTGTCTGAAGTTCAGGGTTCTGTTATGAATTTCTCTTGGCTTATTGATTCTCTGGCTGTGTATGATCTATTGTAACGTGACTTTTCCTCTCCCAGAACTATAGGGAAATTGGAACCATCTTATGTTATTCGGAAATTCCTAGATGCTCAGCGCATCCACAATCTCACTGCTTATCTGCAGACACTCCACCTTCAATCTCTTGCCAATGCAGACCATACTACACTTCTGCTGAACTGCTATACTAAACTCAAAGATAGCACCAAATTGGAGGAGTTCATTAAGGTAACGGGAAGGTGGTGACTTAAGAATTTTGCATTATTTCATGATAATTAAGAGGGAGAGGTGGTAACAGTGTAAATTGTCTCCTGTGGGGCTATTGAGAAGGAAAAGAGTTTGTGCCCCACTGCTTTTATTTGTGATGCTTTATTTCCAAGCTCTTAGTTGCATTCTCAGTTTTGCTGGCTTGCTATTCCAGTTTGAAATGTGCTGGCTTTTGTTAGCGTGACTAGCTGTTCACTGAGAGGTGGATAAACTACTACTTTCTTTCTGCACGTGATCTTTTCCTTGCTCGAGAGGTATTAAATTATCAGTGCTCTGGCTTTCCTTTTCAAACACAAATAATTTCTGCTTGTTCCTTGGCATAATTCCTACAGTCCACAATCTTTCTGCTTCTGTTATAGGCTAGTGAGAGTGAAGTTCGCTTTGATGTGGAAACAGCAATCAAGGTGCTTCGTCAAGCAGGTTACTACTCCCATGCTGTGTACTTGGCAGAAAAGCATGCCCATCATGAATGGTACCTCAAAATCCAGCTAGAAGACATTAAGGTGAAGTGTTATTGCTCTTGTGTTCTTACTGATGTGAATATTGCTTCTCTAGCCTCCTTTGCTGGTAAGAATCTTATTTCACTGTCCTCAGCACTTACTCCACCTGTACTCAGCTCTGGTGAGGCCACACCTTGAGTACAGTGTTAAGTTTTGGGCCCCTCACTACACAGACATTGAGGCCCTGGAACATGTCCAGAGAAGAGCAGTGAAACTGATGAAGAGTATAGAGCACAAATCTTATGAGGAGTGGCTGAGGGAGCTGGGATTGTTTCATCTGGAGAAGAGGAGGAGGCTTGGGGAGAGCTCATTGCACTCTACATCTTCCTGAAGGGAGGCTGTGATGAGGAGGAGTGTATGGGGACTGCTGAATCGCAGGCCGAACCTCTGATTGATCACCTGAGGTGAGCAATGAGTCAGCCATGGAGCACAGGTGAAGGCAATGCACCTGTGCTGCCGGAAGGGGTGGAGCCTGGCTGCACCTCTCCTAGACCCATGTAAGAGCTGATCACCAGCGGGGAAGGATCTCTTCTGGAGATCCGCTCCACTGGATTTTCCTACATGAGCCCAGGATGCGGGTGAGTGTACCTAACAACTACATAGCCAAGCTCTCTGTTATACCATAACATCTGTATATTCATTAATTTTATGCTGCTATACCATAACATCGGTATATTCAGTAATTGTACAAGGAGGTTGGCCTCTTTTTCCAGATAACAAATAGGAGCCAAGGAAATGGCCACAAATTGTGCGGGGCAGATTTACGTTAGACATAAAGAAAAACCTCTCTCAATGAGTTGTTAGGCACTGGAATGGCCTGCTCAGGGAGGTGAAGTCACTGTCCCTGGTGATTCTCAGGAAACGTCTGGAGGTGCTATATGATATGGTTTAGTAGCTTAGTGGGTAGTAGTGGTGATAGGAGGATGGTTGAACTAGATGATCTTGTAGGTCCTTTCCAACCTTGTGATTCTATGATCCTCTCTATGAGCCTCTTCCCTGTAGCTAGTATGCTTATGGGACTGTTAAGGCAGTAGCAGTACATGCTGTTGTTTGTCTCTTGGTGTTCTGCTTCTGGACTGTACGGTGGACTTCAGGTGGAAAGCAGTGGCCTACTGGTTCTGATTCAGTGTTACTCTTTTTTGTTCTTGCGCTTTTTATTTTTTTTTTACAGTGTTCTCAAATCAATTACTGGCAGAGCCCTCTTAAAGTCGATTTCTTTCCCCTGGTCATAGCCAGCCTGTCTCCCTGAGGATGTCAACAATCAGGAATAGTAACATTAGGTGTTAATTTAGAGCAGATGTTGTTTCTGACATACTTGCAGCATATCCTGAATGCTGTTTGTGCTAACATCATTGTGGAGAGTAGAGGCTAATGTCATGTGATCCTTGCTGGCTGCCTCTACAGAACTATCAAGAGGCTTTGCACTACATTGGAAAACTGCCTTTTGATCAAGCGGAGAGTAACATGAAGCGATATGGTAAAATCCTGATGCACCATGTCCCTAAAGAGACAACGGAACTACTGAAGAACCTTTGCACTGATTACCAGCCATCAGGGAACAGTGAAGGCCCTGGGATCCTGGAAGGAAAAAAGGTATAGTTTGCTTTGACTGAGAGGTACTGCTTAGTAACAGAAACTTTGTAGCGAGTGCTCCTGCATGCCTGACATTCTAGGCATAATGAGGGGCCACGTTGTAATGTGTTGGTAGTCTTAGTGATGAAACTGTCTAAAGGTACTGCTCAGAACTGATCACTGCGGTAATTGTATTGTGATGTATCTGTTATGGGTCATTCTGGGAGTGAGCTGTACAAATTTTAGAGAAGAACCGCCTGTCTGGCTGTGACTGGGTGGGTGGTCGGTCAAGTTTTTTTTTATGGTTATTTTGCAGGCCAATTCTGAGGAGTTCATTCCAGTCTTTGCAAACAATTCCCGAGAACTGAAGGCGTTTCTGGAGCACATGACTGAGGTGCAGTCTGACTCTCCACAGGGTGTATATGACACTTTATTGGAACTTCGTCTCCAGAATTGGGCACATGAACTAGATAAGCAGGTTTGATCTTTGGTTTTCTATTTTGAAATAAAGCTTTGGTGTTTGGGAATTCTGTTTGCATTCCTGCCAACTCCATAACCTCTCCAGATAGGCGTTGTTAATATAAGGCAATTCTCATGTTGTAGTGACAAATAGGAATGCAGCCTACTGGCTGAGAGAATACTTATTTCAGTGAGGCAAGCGTATTTTTTATGCATACAGATTCCAATACAGACAATGCAATGTGGGTAAATGTCTTTTTCATGAAATTGGATATGCTTGCCTTAATCTTTGAAGGTGCTGGCTGTTTGGGTAAAATAAATTGTCTTTATTGCTTAAAAAGGGTGAAGAGCAAACATCAAAACTTTGCTTCTCTCTAGAAAAGCTGCAAATTGTTTTCAGATATTGGTGCAAAACTGTTCTGTTTCTTCTCCCCTGCCATTCCATTCCTGTTTTCCACAGATCAAGGAGAAGCTGCACGATGAAGCACTCACTCTCCTGAAGAGCGGAAGATTCAAAACAGTCTTTGATAAGGCCTTGGTCTTATGTCAGATGCACAATTTCAAGGACGGTGTCCTCTACCTCTATGAACAGGGCAAACTGTGAGTATTGCTTTTCTTCCCAGAGTCCTGTTGCTTGCCCCATCTCAGGGATTTCTGAGCCATAAATGCCCCTGCCCTACAATGGTAAGGACCTTTTGAGTATCTCAGGACAGAAACTGCGTACATCACTGCTCAGCTGAAAGTATCCCTCTTTTGGAGCAGGACAGTGATCTAGAGGACAGATGGCAGACCAGTCTTGGCTTCTGTGGGAATGTTTGGGCATTGTGTGGCTGAGTGGAAACATGAGGCCCCTATAACCTTTCAAAAGATAGATTTTTGCAACTGACATGTTGCTTTCCTCTCTAGTTTTCAACAGATCATGCATTACCACATGCAGAACGAGCAGTACAAGAAAGTGATTGAAGTGTGTGAGTTGTACGGGGACCAAGAGGCTTGTCTTTGGGAACAGGCTCTGGGCTACTTTGCACGGAAGGAGGAAGACTGCAAGGAGTATATTGCTGCAGTGCTGAAACACATAGAGAACAAGAATCTTATGCCTCCACTTCTTGGTAATAATATGTGGCCTAATGTTGGGGTAACAGAAAGGCTTTTATGGCATCTGTAGACTAAGAATGTGAGAGAAGTATCAATGGAGCTTGAGCCCACCAATTGAAACGACAATCTGCTGTAGAGGAAAAGGTGATGCCAGTGGCAGCTTCACAATTTGGGGAAGAAAGATCTGCTGTATCAGTTGCGGAGGTGTCTGTTTTATTTCTATTCCCTCAGTGTGGAGAGGTGAAGGGCATCTTAAGCTCTTTCTGTAGATGGGCAGAGAAGTTGAAATAGAGCTCAGTCCACTAGATTTTTCCTTTGCCCTTGTGGTCTGGGCTATTTAAATGTGCTCCCAGTCATGGCTTTGGAGGTTGGGGCCCTGTAGAGAGCAAGCTGAAATTGCATCTTTAAATAACTTTTCTAATTCAGTAGGAGTGTGGGATGTTTTTTGCCTGTTGGTTTCCTTTTAATGGAAATTAGGCTGTTGAGTCATGATGAGTGGTAGTGGCAATTTTCTTCACTTGCATTTAAACTAACGTTGAGTTATCCTCAGTTGTGCAGACATTGGCTCACAACTCCACAGCCACATTGTCTGTGATTAAGGATTATCTTGTCAACAAGCTGCAGAAGCAGAGCTGCCAGATAGAGCAAGATGGGCAGAAAATTCAAAAATACCGGGACGAAACTACAAGGATCCGTCAAGAGATTGAAGAGCTAAAAGCAAGGTGCAGGACTGTGATCTCTTGTCTTAGTTAGAAAATAATATTCCAATATAAAGAAAAATACACTTTTTTTTTTTTTTCCCCTTCTGTTTCCTGTCACTGTTTCAGTCCCAAGATCTTTCAGAAGACCAAGTGTAGCATTTGCACCAGTGCCCTGGAGCTGCCCTCTGTCCATTTCCTGTGTGGTCATTCCTTCCACCAGCACTGCTTTGAAAGCTACTCTGAGAGTGATTCAGAATGTCCTACTTGCATGCCTGAAAATCGCAAAGTGATGGACATGATCCGAGCCCAGGAGCAGAAGAGAGATCTGCATGATCAGTTTCAGCATCAGGTATGGTATTTGTTGCCCTGTGGGTTTGTGTTTTTCTTTTTTTAAGTTTAGACTGCTTTTGCAGACAGACACCCCTCTCCCCCTAGGGGCTGTTAGAGAAGGATAAGTAGATTCCTGGAGCTAGAGTGACTGGAGGTGGAGTCCTGGTGAGCAGGACCAGGGAAGTCATCCTGCCCCTGTACTCGGCACTGGTGAGGCCCCATCTCTAGTACTGCATTCAGTTTTGGGCACCTCAATACGGAAAGGACATGGAGATGTTGGAGCAGGTCCAAAGAAGGGCAGTAAGGCTGCTGAAGGAACTGGGGCTGTTGAGTCTGGGGAAGAGGAGGCTGAGGGGAGGCCTAATTGCTCTCTTCCGATATCTGAAAGGTGCTTTCAGTGAGAAGAGAGCTGGTCTCTTCTCACTCACAGGATGAGTGACAGGTGACAGGATGAGGGGAAATGGCCTCAAATGGCACCAGGGTTAAGTTTAGATTGGATATCAGGACAAACTTCTTAACAACTCTTTCAGTAAATCACTGGAAAAGACTCCTCAGGGAGGTGAGGTGGTTTTAAACGGTGTTTAAAAACCGTTTGGATGTGGTGCTCAGGGGCATGATTTAGCAGAGGGTTGTTAGAGTCAGGGTAGTATGGTTAGGTTGCAGTTGGACTTGATCTTTAAGGTCCTTTCCAACCTGAGCATTTCTATGATTCAACAGCTGGAGTAGAGAGAGTCCTTGATGTTCTGCAAACATGAAAGATAAACCAGTGCAACTAAGGTAGTAGCTTTCATGCTTAAGATAACTCAGTGGCAGAAAAGCTTGCTATATGTGGCATTTGCATGAAATAGCAAATTAGTGGTTTTAAACTGCTATGTCTCTAATACGGGGCTGTAAGTGAAGGGATGAAAGGGTATGTTCTGGAGGCAAGGGCCTCTGGCCAGCTCCTGATGGCATTGCTTTGTGTCTTGCAGCTTAAGTGCTCCAATGATGGTTTTTCCGTCGTCGCTGACTACTTTGGTCGAGGCGTTTTTAATAAGCTCACCCTCATCACAGATTTGCCTTTGGGAAAGTCAGCTACGACAATTGAGGCTGGCCTCCAGAGGGAGCTGCTGATGCACACTAAGCGGAGTACCTGAGCTGGGGATTCCCGTTGCACCGCGCGCCTTCTCGGGTTGTACGGGTTTACGGCGTGGGCGCGCGCTTCGCCCCCTCATCTTTCGCTCTCCAATAATAAATGGAACCAAGTCGGCTTTACGCCGGAGCGTGAGAAGTGCAGCGCGGGCACCGCGGAAAGGCGGGGCTGGGGCTCCGTCACACGGACGGCCCCGACGGAAGTGACGCGTCGGAGGGGCGGGGCGGGGCCGGGCCATGGGGCGCCCCGGGAAGAGCTGAAGGCGGAGCGGCGCCATGGCGGAGGTACGCCCGGCTGCGGTGAGTCGGGGCCCGGCGGGAGGGAGGGTGCGCGGCCAGCTGCGGGGCCGCTAACAGTGCATTGTTGCTGCAGGGCGAGAACGGTATTGGCAACAGGGCGATCCGCGTGGGTACCCGCCGGAGCCAGGTAGGCGGTGGCGAGTTGGGGGTGCGGGGAGCCCGAAGTAGCCCTGGACAGCTGTGCATGAAAGCGGATGCTTTCGTTTCTCCGGGTCCCGGCAGCTTTCGTGCTCGAAAAGCAAGTGAGAGCAGCGTCCGTGCTCTCCAGGGAGGCGAGCCCGAGTCGAGACTCGGGAGGTGCTGCTGCTCCCCTGCTCGAGGTCTGCAGGGAAGAGCAGAGCTCCCTCGGAGCTCCGCACTCGGTAGCGGCTGCTGGGAGGGCTCAGCCGTTCTGGATCGTTTGTTGAGAGCTCGAGAAAAAAACTTGTGAACGCTTTTCTCGGTGGGGCCGTTTACTCTCATTAGCGCTTCTTTCGTGCGATTTGCGGAGTTAACGTGGCACCTTCTACGATAACGGGTATCTTTCTGTTTATTGAATTGCGAGGCAGGCGCGGCTTTTGCGGAGAGGTGAGGCGGGACCCGCCCCAAACACTCCAGCCCTCCCAAAGGCCGGGGAAAGAATTTGTCCGGAGATACAGTGGGTATCTCTTGCCATCCTGCTGCAGCAAGGGAGGAGCTGACTCGCAGAAGATAACCGTCCTTCAGGCCTTTGTTCTGCGATAAACTTGTTCGTTCTGGTAGCGAGGTCTAAGATTCGGTACTTCAAGGAGGGAGAGAAAGCATTACATGTGGACTTCAGAGTACAGACCATAGGCTCACGCATGCTACTACTTTTTCTAACCTGAGGTTGCAATGGGAAGCCACAAGCTATGCTCATTTTGTATGTAAGGAAACTAGAGTCTTGAGAACAAAGTTAATTGCTCCGGGCTATGTAGCTCGTTACCAGGAAAGAAGCTGAAACGCTGTAGTTAGAGGTGCTTGCTTGATTCTTCTGTTTTTATTTTGCTTGCCTTCGCCTTGTTTTTTTTTTTTTTTTTTCTTTACTGCCTTAAGATCTGGTGCTTGCTGTTTGTGCAGACCTTAGCTGGTACTTCTTTGTCTGTAGAATTTCTGAGTAGCATTTTGATCCTATCAAGGCTAAATAATTTATATTTGCCAGTATCTGTAGGACTTTTAGAGGCAAAATCATACTGACTCAAAAAAAATCATACTGACTTCAAAACAAAAAAAACAAAAACAAACAAACAAAAAAAAACAAACCGAAAAACAAAACAAAACAAACAAAAAAAAAACAATCCAGCATGCAATGTCAACAAAACTAATGGCTTGAGAAAAAGCAGGAGTTACTTTCTATTATAGGACTTTTTCTTTCTTCAGTGAATGACAGGCTTTTCTTACCTTTCTGTTTGCTTCCCAATAAACACCTGTCTTTCAGCAGTGACATTCCATAGAGGAGAAACGCCTTAAGGTTAGTTAGGTACACTTAGGTAAACGCTGTGTACGTATAACATTGCCTCTGAGAAATGAAACTTCTGCCTAGGGGACAGCTAGTGATTTTAGGGCAGCTGGAAGCAGTGCATGTGAATCCTAACACATTTTTGCTTCAGCTGTTCTTCCTAACTCAATACATTGTTTTTGTTTTGACTTGTTATGCTTGGATCACAACAGTGCTGGATATGGGGAGAGGTTATTTTGTTGCTTAGATTTAAAGAAGTTCTGTGAAATGTTCTGGTCACCTTACAGGCTCAAAGGATTTGTATACGTGAGCTATTGTATTTGGAGCTGCTACCCTCTAATGCTTATAACTTAGAGAACATAGTGGTCATGCCTGCATGACTATCAAAGAGTGACAGAGTCCTCTCTAGCTGCTGTGTAGCTTAGGCTTTTTGCGTAGTGCTTTGTTTTTGTGTTCATTGCAGCTAGCCCGGATTCAGACTGACGGTGTTGTTGAGATGCTCCGTGACTTTTATCCTGATCTCTGCTTTGAGATTGGTAAGTGGTGTTTTGTTTTTTCCCCTCCAGTTGCTGCTCTGATGTCGGGTGGCAACAGGAGCCAGGCAGTTATCTATGTGTGAATAGGGTATTGTCAAGAGCAGGTGAATTGGCCACATGTTATCTGAGAGAGCAGTCTGAATTCTGTTAGGTTGTATAGCTGAGCAACTGCTGCCGGTGTTTTCCAATGGAGAAGGATTGGTTACACAAGCTCCTGTTGATGAAGGCCTGTATCTGTCATGCATATGGTGTTACATTGCTCAATTTGAGAATCTGGGCAATGTCTTTAGAGTTGGCTGTTCCCAAAACCTGTCCTCTTTCTCCTTTTGTGTTTTTGAGTCATGAAAGAAATCTCTATTTCACTTGCAACATATTCTTAGAAGCGAGCTGCTCTTGAATCTGTCTCAAGTCTGTGTTTGCAGCGTGGTAGTGTGTATTGCTTGTTACTATTAAGTAGATACCACCAGTCAATGTATTCTGATGATGCCCATGGCTTTGTGTTCTCTGAGCAGTTGCCATGTCTACAACTGGAGACAAGATCTTAGATACAGCACTGTCTAAGGTAAAGGATTTATTTCAGGTGGGAATGAATTAAAAAATATAGTACTCAAAAAAGTAATTGTATTTGATGCGGGTTTTCTTCTGTGATTCATTTTTCTTCATTTACATGTAGATTGGGGAGAAGAGCCTCTTTACCAAAGAGCTGGAAAATGCACTTGAAAGAAATGAGTAAGAGCTCAGTTTTATTACTTGTCTGGCATTTTTTTTTATTATTTATTTTTTATATGCTATAAGTGTTATCTGGTTTCCTTCTTTCTGATTAAGGAAGAAATTCTCTGATACAACATGCTTTTTTTTTTTTTTTTTTTTTTAACTCCCTATCCTGGATTTAGGCCATGTTTTGGAATAATGGTGTTCTGACTGTCTGCCCTATTTTTTTTTTTTTATATTCTCCGATTTGTATGTTACTTGTGCATCAGAGCATGTGTAATCTAATTCATGCTTGCAAACGTGTTCTTTATTTTACTACTTTGCTACTGTATTTCAGTATTCTGTGATTTGCATACTGCGTAACATACTTACTGCTTGTTAGTGTGCTATATGCTAAATATTCCAGTAAATTGTGTATGAGCAAGTTGTGCTGCTTTCTGGAGTAATTTCTTCCTACAGAAAAGTCAAATATATAGGGTTGGTGTTTTTTTCTTAAATATCCTGAGTAGGGCTGTTGTGCTTATGGCTTGATAAAAGTAAGTTTAAAAGCAAAGATACTTTCTGCATCTGTAGCGTACGCATTTGATAATGCATTTTCCAGTAAAGTCAGTGGAAAAAAAATACCGGAGGCTCAATGATTTACAAGTTGCTGCCCTTATAGTGAAGTAGATGGCGTTTGCTTTGCTAGCTATTATTTTCACATTGAACCATGATACCAGTCAACATACTGGTTGCATACTGGTTCAAGGGAGTCTCTGTGTCAATATTTCTAGTATCTTACGCTAATTCAGTCTGGTTGTAGTGTATCTTGTACTGCTACTGGGAGGAAGGCATTATCTCAGTTTTCCAGATTAGAAAAGGCAGAGAAAAGTAAAATGGCTCTTCAGAATTGCTAATGTAAGTCTAGTAGAAATTCTGGGTAAAGAGTTCTGAGCATTCTTTCTCTTTTCTGAACTAATCCCAAGAATTGGATCTACACTTTCCTATTGTTAACTGTGGGTCTCTGGCACTACATGACCCAACATCTATTTAGTGTTGTGATTACTGTTCTCTAATTCATAGAGTTGACCTGGTAGTTCACTCCTTGAAGGACCTGCCAACTTCTCTTCCTCCTGGCTTTACCATTGGTGCTATTTGCAAGTAAGTATGCGTGCAAAGCCTGACTGTCTGAGGGACTTAACATTTTGCAGTGTGGATAACAGCAGGTTTGTTGGAAATCCTTGCTGTTAAAAAAGAAGCCTTTTGGAGCTAGATGATAGTTCCTTTAGGGAGCAGCACCAGAACTGTTAATCTTAATGGCCTTCTGTTAAATGATGTCTGCCATTCTGCTCTTGCTTTTTTTTTTTTTTTTTTTTCCTTCTCTCAGAAGAGAGAACCCACTTGATGCTGTGGTCTTTCACCCCAAAAACTGTGGGAAAACGCTCAGTCTTCTTCCTGAAAAGAGGTGAGTAGGGAGAAGGGGAAGTCAGTAAAGTGTAAAAAATAGAAAGGAGGAGTTTGTTCGTATTTCCCAGTGATGAATCAGTGAGCTTTCCTTATCCTGCAGTGGTTTTTGCACTGCCTTCAGTTAGCTTCTGAACCTATGTGCTGAAAAGAGCTATGCTAATGAGAATGTTGTTAATTGACTTTGAATGTCTTTAGCCAACTTTGAGAAGTAGTGCACCCTTGAGATGCAAGTGAGACCCTACCTTGCTTCAGTCTCCAGAGTGGATATGAGGTCCTTTGTGTAGTGCTCATTACAGGAGGATGCATGCAGTGCAGACAGTGCGTCCAGAGCAGAATCCTAACTTGCATGTCTGTTCTCTTGTTCTCACTCAGCCAATTCAGATTTCTTTGTTGCTTTTTTGGGCACATATTTTCTGTGGTATTTTCTGGTGTATATTCAGGTGGAGCTAAGTACTGTTTTATGCTAAATTTCATTGATTTAATTTTTCCAAACAGTGTTATTGGAACTAGTTCACTTCGGCGAGCAGCCCAGCTCAAAAAGAAGTTCCCTCAGCTTGAATTCAGGGATATTGTATCCTTTTGCTTCAAAATGTTGAATCTGGACGAAGTTGCGGAAAGGATTATGGAAGTTGACACGAAGTCCAGAATCAAGGGTGATATACAGTACCTGATCTTCAGGAACACACTTCCTCAAAGGCTGCCTTCTGTAACCCATTCTGTAGTGCTTTTTGTCCTGTTGTTTTCTCATGGTTCTATAAAGAAAGGGCCTAGCTTTAATCTAGCTGAGATTCAAAATGCTGGTGCATTTCGTATTTAGCGATGTTCTGAAGGCTGCTTAGTGGAGGTCTATCTTAAGTTTGTCACAGTGGCAGCCAAATGCTGATCAGTCCATGACATCTATAATGTGTTTTGGGCTGCTAGTTTAGATATGCGCCACTGAAGTGGGGGTAAAACACATTACCTCAGTCCCAGTAACCCAGTTCATTGATCTGCAGAATTATTTGATGTCAGGTATGTGCCATTTAAGTGCATCATTTGTGTCTTTTCAGAGAGCATGCTTGGATTGTTATGAAATATTAATCAGCAGAAACAAAGAAACAATTGTCCATATTTAGCACTTCTTTCAGAATGATACCTTGACTGATTCTTATTTGGAGGCTTTAAACAGTCGAGTGAATGCTAAGTGATTGTATGACTCTGCATACTGTTTCTCTACTTGCTTAACCACTTGTACAGAGAGGAAATTTAAACACCCGCTTGAAGAAGCTAGATGAGAAGGAAGACTTCAGTGCTATAATCCTGGCTGCTGCTGGATTGAAGAGAATGGGCTGGGAGAATCGCATTGGTCAGGTGAGTGTCAAAGTAAAAAATCCCATTCTCTTCTAGGCTATTGCCTGCTTGATTTTCAGACCTTGTGATTGTCCCATCAGAGGTGCACATGCAATCTGCTGAATCCATTGCCGTGTTAGCTTGATGTTATTTGCTTTAGGAAGGGTTTAATTTTGCTCGTTTCTTTTTGTATACAGTTACAAAATGCAATACTTTTCATGTTACAGGAACAGTTTGTAATATGGTAACATCATAGCATTTCATGTGTGCAGTGAAACAGTGCATGTGTAAGATTTTTTTCTGATTAACTAATGAATAAAATATTACTGTCAATGTGAGGAATAGTACCTTATCCTACTTTTTGAGATGGAAATGCTGAGGCATGGGAAGTGGGAGGTGATATTTCCCTTGGGCACAAATGTGGTGTTAGAAGTATGCATGGAGTTCAGTTCTTCCTTTGTATATTCTAAAAAGTGCAACATGACTTAACTCTGTTTTTACTTTTTTCCAGCTCCTGAGCCCTGAAGATTGTCTGTATGCTGTGGGACAGGTACGTTACCATTTCTGTACTTCAAGCCTGACTGCATATGGAAAGCCAGCAGCAGTGTGATGTCAGGTGGTTAACTGTGGCAACCAAGTACTTCTGATGTATTTATTGCCAAAGAAGAATTACAGTGATCTCTGTTGCAGCCTCTTACTCTCCTTATGTTCAGCGTTTGAAGAACATTAATTCAGCTCCATGAGTCTGTGTAGTGGGGTTTGATTTCTATCAGCCACAGAAATAGTAAACGGTAAGGTAATGTGTGGTGCAGCTACCCTGGGACAACTCTGCAAGTATGAGGCAGGGCTAGTCTTGTGCTATGCTGGGCTATCCGTACAAAGCCGCTGCAGTGTCGGTTCTGTGGCACTCCGCGGAGCTGAAACGCCTGCCTTGGGGCACGTTGTTAGCATTCTTGTTTCGAGGCAAATTTGTTTCCAGTCCGTGCTGGTCATGTAGCTGAACTTATACACAGTGTTGCATAGTTGGTATCAAATTTGTGAAACCTGAACTGGCTGTGCATTTTGTAGTGCAATCATTATTGTAATGTAATGCAGTTGTTTCCCAATCTGGATGAATTGCTGGTTGATGTACAGCTGTTGCTGTTACTTACAGGTTGGAAACAGTAAACAGTGACAGCTTTGAAGTTATCCCATGACAGTACTGAAGGTAGTCAGCCAGATGAAAGTGAAAAATGAGCCAGAAATAGTGTTTCTTGTATTTGTCATGTACTATACTTTTTTTTCTTGTCTTGTTTTCCATTTGGGAAAGAATTGGTTTGTGATTGCTGTTATCTTCAGACAAGGTTGCAGAACTCACGTTTATCCAACTTTCTTATGCTGTTGTGACAGCAGAGCAGGTGTTTGCATATACGTAGTCAGAAGAGGCATATGGTCTGAAGTTGAGCTAAGGAAAAGATGTCAGGTGACTGTATGATCTTCAGTACTTGTCTAAGTCCTGAATTTCCCTTTACAGCAGTTGCTTCAAGATGTCTTGCAACCAGTTGATTGTTTCTTGAATAATTTCTGTAAAATCTCTGTACTTAAATACTGCTCCCTGAGTGAAATGCATCCAGACTTCTGAGTTGTGTTTCATGACCAATGCTGAGTGCATACAGACACTTAAGTTGAGGAGTTCTGTTATTACTGTTGTCTTACAGGGGGCTTTAGCGGTGGAGGTTCGAGCCAAAGACCAAGAAACGCTTAATATGGTATCTGTCCTGCATGATGGAGAAACTGTATTATGCTGCATTGCAGAGAGGGCTTTCATGAAACATTTGGTACGTGTGTTATCCTTGCCCTTCTGCTTACAGTAACAAATACTGCTCTATGCAACGGATGGCGTGGTGTGGGAAGACTGTTACACCTGCTAAGTAGGGAGAACTTGTGAACTGGGAAGTGCCTGAACAGAAATAGGCGGAACTGTGTGCAGCATATACTTTTCAGAAACCTCTGCTTTGAATGCACCGGGAGGAAACTCAATAGCAACGTCGTTCTGTTTTCAGGAGGGTGGCTGTAGTGTCCCTGTTGCAGTTAACACCATGCTGAAAGATGGCCAGGTGAGGAATATTTTGTATGTATATGGGATTATTTATGAAAAACTGTTCCAGTGTGTGCATGTTCTCTGAGGTTCAGCTCAGCAGATGTCTTCACAGCTGAGTAGGGCAGATAAGGGTTATAATTCTCATACTCAGGAGTATGAGAAAGCAGTTCTGGTTACAGAAGCTGAGTCCTAGAAAACACCCTTACTGTGATAATTAGATTTTTTTTCATCCTCTCGTTTCAAAGTGTTGCCCTGAGATCTCAAAGTCTGCCTTTTGACTTGGTAAAATCAGTGCATTTATACAACAGATTATGAATTAAGTAGGTAGAAAGCTAGAAAGTATTCGGTTTCTTTCTTGGGAAGATGCATCTTCCCTAACAAGGATTATTTGCATTACAGTTGTATCAGACTGGCAGTCTGATTAGACTGACTTGCAGAAGTGTTGCTGTCTAGGTTGGTTTTGTGGTAAACTCTTTCTGTCTTTCCAAGTTGTATTTGACAGGTGCAGTCTACAGTTTGGATGGATCTGATAGCCTGAAGGAAACAATGCAGACCAGCGTTAATTATCCACAACAGGTATGCAATGCATGTTGGACTCAAAATTCAAACCTATAGCTGAATGATAAAACCAGATGTTTTGAGATCAGGTGTTTTTCCCTTGTTCTGCTAATTGTTCTAAGAGTCCACAGCATACAGTTCTAAAGGCTATTCAGACCATAGATTCTAGCTGAATATTTTTCAGTGAGCCAGCAGTGTGCCCTTGAAGCCAAGGAAGGCCAGTGGTATCTTGGGGTGTGTTACAGAGAGCGTGGCCAGCAGGGCAGGGGAGGTTCTCATACCTTCTGCACTGCAGGGGCCACATGTGGAACAGTCTAGTTCTGGGCTTCTCAAATCAGAGGAGATAGTGAACTGCTGAAACAAGTCCAGTGGAGGGTTACAAAGATGATAGAGGCCTAGAGCATTTCCATTATGAGGAAAGACTTGGAGACCTGGGGCTGTTTAGCCTGGAGAAGAAAGGCTGGGAGGAGTCTTAGCAATGCTTATTAATACCTAAAGGATGAAAGTCAAGCAAGCAGATGAGGCCAGGCTTTTTTTTTTTTTTTTTTTTTTTTTTTTTTTTTTTTTTTTTGGTGGCGCACGGTGGTAGGACAAGGGACAGCACAAACTAGAGTACACCCGAAGTTTCATACAGATATGAGGAAGAAGGGTGACAAACAGGTTGCCCAGAGACGTGGGGGGGGGGGAGTCTCCTTTGCTGGAGTTATTTGAAACCTGTCTGGATGGTTTCCTGTTCAATCTGCTCTAGGGAAGAACCTGCTTTCAGGGGAGTTCAATTCTGTGATATCTAGTTTCATGCAGACTTATTACCCACTCCTTCCCACAGCCTTACACTGAGGTGTTTATTCTTGCAGAATGAAGATGGACCAAATGATGATGTGCAGCATGTTGGCATCACAGCCAAAAACGTTCCTGGTCAGGCCCAAGAAGCTGCAGAGAATCTTGGTATCGAACTAGCTAGTTTACTTCTGAGCAAGGGAGCTAAGCACATCCTTCGCGTGGCAAGACAGCTGAACGATGCCTGCTAGGCCCCCAGTGAGAGCAGCAAGATTGTTACAATTCTTGCTGCAGGCTTCACAGCTACTCAATCAGCTGTTGGAGGAAGGGGGTTTTTGTTTTTAACATTTGCACCAGCCTTGTCTGACATTTGGGCATAAAATACTTGAAATACCTAACTAACTTGGAGTTATGTTTATTGAAGTTTACCTAAGTTGCAAAATCTCTCTGAAACTTAAATAAGTTTTTATTGTTAGGACAGATGTAGTAGTAATTGTTCTCCTATTGCGTTTAGTAACAAAGCATCAAATACAGATTATAGTCAGACCAAACGGTGGTGTTACTGCAGTACTGCGCTGTGCTGACAATAAGAAGTATTTTCTGTAGTCACTGAACTTGGGAAATTGCGGATTATTTGGGCCTGTTATTTTCAGAAATGAAGGAGACTACCATTAGGTTCCCAATGCATTCCTCATGGGGAATTTACCACAGATGCTATATTCATAAGTTTTGGCTACAGAGTTGCTTTAAGTTATTAAATACAACTTTGTCACTTGTTCATAGTGAACTAATAGGTAGCTGCTTAGCCAACTTATCCCACGTAGATGTAGTATGAGGATATGCATTGATATACAATAACTGGTAACCTTTGACTTGCAGAGTAAGAAACTTGCCTTTCCCTCTATGCTGTGAGCTATTTCCCTGTTCACGGCTGAGCTGTCGTTTTGCACTATCATGTTGCAGTGCCTTAAGGAAACATCAAAATAACCTATTTATAGGGTTCCAGTTTGGAGATATGAAGCATTGTTTATTTTCTGTGCAACATCTGCTGAATTTAACAGCAGAGAAACAGTCACATTATAAGCACCCAAGAGTAAGTCTGTTCGAAGAACGTCACCTATTTACAGTTTCTGTAACTGAACTCGAGCAGCCAATGCCGGCTGCTGGTGCTTCCTGCCTGCTCCGCAGCGCGGCCTAGCGCTTGCTCCTCGTAGTTGGCCTCCGGGCGTGGAGCTGCATTGCCTTGGGCCCTGCGCCGGTATTTGGATGCAGCCCCCGCCTCTCCCCTCCCGCGGATCGCAGCTCTCCCAGTGAGCATTGGAGTGGCCCTGAAAAGGGCCTTTGTGTGGTGCTTGGGGGAAGGAGGGGGGAGGAAGGGAAGGAGCCCGGCCTAGTACTCTTGCGACTGCTGCCCGCTGCCCTTCTTGCCGGCCTTGGCAGGGCTCGCAGCGCTCCCACCCGTCTTCTTGGGCAGCAGCACGGCCTGGATGTTGGGCAGGACGCCGCCCTGCGCGATGGTGACACCGCCCAGCAGCTTGTTGAGCTCCTCGTCGTTGCGCACCGCCAGCTGCAGGTGGCGGGGGATGATGCGCGTCTTCTTGTTGTCGCGGGCCGCGTTGCCCGCCAGCTCTAGAATCTCGGCCGTCAGGTACTCCAGCACGGCCGCCAGGTAAACGGGTGCGCCAGCGCCCACCCGCTCCGCGTAATGTCCGCGCCGTAGCAGCCGGTGAACACGCCCGACAGGGAACTGCAGCCCGGCCCGAGAAGAACGAGACTTGGCCTTCGCTCGGGCCTTACCGCCACTTTTGCCTCGGCCAGACATGGCGTCTCGCAGCGGACCGAGCACCACTCCAAACTCTCAGCAGCTCTGCGGCGGGACGAAGGGAGGACGCCTCCACCGGTGTCTTTATAACCTCCCGCACAGTAGGGCCCCGCTCATTGGACAGCACAAGGCCGCCTCGCTATTGGTGCTCTGTCGCGTGAACCTCCTCTCTGACTGGCCGCCTTTGCGCCCGCCCCCACTCCTTAGCGCTTACCTCCTATCTAATGGCGACGGCGACAGACCAATCAGAAGACAAGGCGCCAAATTCGTACCACGCGGTAGCCGTTGGCGCTCGCAGCCGGGTACGGTAAGATGGGGCAGTGCGGCGCCGGCCGGGCCCCGGGGTCCGACTCGCCGGCGGAGCTCGGCAGTGTGCTGGCAGGGGGCGTGGCTGGGCTCAGCAGCGGCGCCTCGGATGGATGTCTGGAGCTACGCTTTCAGGTGGCAATTCTATGGTGCCGGATAACGCTATCTAAATAAGAATTCGGATAGAGAAAATCGTAACCGGCAAATCTAAGTGGTTCTTATCGATACTTTGTACAAAAAGATGCTGTGATCTGTACTCTGCTAACCGGTCCCAGAGGTGCTCTGATCTGTGAAGAGCACAAATGCTAGACACTCAGGGAAAAAAAAGCTTGTAGGATCTGCTGCAGAAATTTCTGGCATTGAGCAGGGCAGGAGAGCACAGCACTGTACTGTGGAACCTTGCTTCACTGCATGTCAACATTCTCAGGACAGAGAGCTGAAGATGAAAGGGTATTTCATGTTATTTTATTCCCAGAATGCTCTGAGTTGTGGGTATGATTTATAATGTATTACTCTACAGATAAACCTGAATTAGCCAAGAAGACGTTCTGGTTCATCTGTTATGTTGTAGTCTCACAGAAATTGCAGTTATTATTTCTTCTCTCAAGGAACAGCGACAAGTTTCTTAAACTTCAGTGTCATTTCTCCTGCTTTCCCTAAACACTCTGTGTAAAGACTTGTGTTGCTTATTTTCCCTCTGAAAGGTATTCTCAGTAGCAAGGATGTCCAAGTAGTGTTGACTGTCTTCTGTCAGCAGAATTAGACGGAAGAGCTCTGTCTACAAAAAGAGAATTGTGATTCTAGGCTGGCTTGGAGTAGTTTCTTGCATTCTGAAAGGGTGGCTTGGAGTTCTCAGAGGATCAGAATAAGATTGAATTGTTTTGGTCAGCAATTGAATAAGGTTCACTGGAAGGTGCAGCTCCTGGCAGTTCAGTCAGACATCATAAAATAAGCGCACAAGCTGGTACCGGATTGAAAATGCAATCACGCTGCCCAGGACCTAAATTTAAAAACAGACACAGACACACAAAAAAAAACCAAAACAAACAAACAAAAGAAACCAAAACAAAAACAAAACAAACAAACAAACAAAAAAAAAAAAAAAAAAAAAAAAACAATCAACCTGAAGCTGAAACCTTACAACATCAGTCAATTCACTGGCTAGCAGGTTCTTCTTTCGCATGGAGATTTGATGTGCTTTAAAACACAGTGCTATATCGTAAACAGACTTAAAGTAAAATTTTTAGGTGTAGAAGAAATGAAAAGCATAAATTTAGCCAAAGTTCTTGGTCTTTCAATCAAAATTGTACCTATCTGTGAGGGATTTTGTGCCTGTTTATGCAAGTTTATCTTGTGAGAACAAACGCAAAAAGATGGCAAAATCACTTCTTAAGACACCCAACTTATAATGTAAACTCTATAGCCTGTAACGAAAAACAACTAGTCAAGCTACAATTTGTCATCCTTTCATAGCAGACTTCCCTGCTGTGACCTCACTCAAAATCAAGCTGTATGCACTTCCCATTCCCTCCTGCTCGATGTGTTTGGCCTAAGCCTTGTTCTCTTTGTTGGAAGTCTTCTGCTGGAATAGGAATTTAAGTGGTGTTTTCTCTTTCCTAAGGAGAAACTCTTCCCTTTGAGCTGACACTGAAAGGAATTGTACTCAATTAAGCAATGTCTTTTCTGAAACAGAATATCTGCTGCAACAGGTAAGAGAGTTCACGTGTTGAATAAAAGTAGCAGCAGTATCTGCAAGGCGTGTTCTCCTTGCATTCTAAGTTGCTTCAAAATGCTCCCACACCATGCTCAGACTCCAGCTACCACTGAGTTCATGCCACATTTATGTAAGGGCACCAGCTGGAGATAACACTCGTACTAGTGTTATTTGGTATGATTGAAAAACAGAACTGTGATAAAAGGCTGTATTGAGTTAGAGTGACAAGGCAAGAACATAGTGCTGTTTTTTCTACGGTTCTTCTAGCATCCAGCAACTCGTGCTCTGAGGAGCTTCTCGAGCTAATCTAGGGACTTGAAATTTAATAGCTCTTAGTGAATGATGCTGGGGACTGAGAGGAAGGACAGCTTCTTCCTGTAGCTGTGTAAAGCTCAGATTTTCAAGTTGCACAACTTTAATTGCATTTTGTATAAAAAGCATGATGCTTCCAGTCCCCCTCTCCCCTTGATATTCTTGAGACAAATCTGGATCTGCTTCTATCACAGAATACATTTCTCTGCTAGCAGGAACATTTGTCTGACCTGAATGAGTAGCAACAGGAGAGTGAGATTTCGTTCATGGATGGGTCCGATCAGCTTTATAACGAAGTTAATTAGCGTCATATTATTGCACTCGGAGTATTCACCATCTTCATCCATTCCACTCCTCACATCTACAATGTGCAAGATCTTTACTATCTAGGGAAAAAAAATATTGCGTGCTATTTCATCAGGTATGTTTAGTGCTTCCTGCTAGATCCATTTTGCTGTATCCCAGTAGTTTGGCTTGTGTTCTTACTTAAGAGACAGGATAGGCTTATGATGGTCTTGGAACAACTGCTGTGTGTGCTTATTTTAAAAGAGCAATTATTAATGTAGTTAATGCATTGACTGCAAGAGACAGTGACTGAGCTAAGTAGAATGTGTTCTTGATTTGAGCCAAGAAATAACCACTGAGCCCAGAAGTTCTGCCTTCCCTCCCATCCTGCTGCTCATGCGTTTGATTCCTTCCTCAAAACATGCCTGTTTTTTTTTAATCTTTTCCTGCTATTACCTTCAGAATGTATGTTCCCAGGGTTGAGAGGCTCTTAGTTTTGAATTTGGAGTAGCTCATCTCCAACTTCCCTGTTGTAGGATTGAGCCTAAAAGGAATGTTGAAGTCTTAGTCTGGACAGAGCAAGGCGACCGTGATCCCTACATAAGTAGATTTATATCTCAAGCCAAGTTGCTGAGAAAGAAATATACTGGTGGAAAAAAGCAAAAATATTCCAATATTGTATAGCGGCAGCTGCTCATACCTTGGTCCCTCAGATTTGGGCAGTCAATAAAATATTCCTCCCTGCTTTGACCTAACACGTGCCAGGTTAGAAGAACTGAATATATGTAGACGTGATGACAATCAGTGACAATACATGGTGCTGCAAAATGCTTGCTACAGTAAGATCTTAACAAATCCTAGTGCAGCAGCAGTAGGAACAGCCTGTATCTATTTATCTCAGTCTTGCAGCTGAGAATAATCATACTCTAAAGAGTATGAGTGTTAAATAGTAGTCTTTCCTAGTAAATTTCTTCGACAAACTTGTGCTGATTGACTCAACCATAAATAGCATGACTGGCCAACTATCCAACCTACTTTGATGGGTATTAAAAAGAGCACCAACCAACGTATGTTATTGTTTCTCAGCTGGTGGTGGAGACAAAGGGCATAAACTGGTACCGTTATAGGTCACTCAGGTACATTACCTTGGCAGTCGGTGGCGGGGACAAGGAATAATGTGGAAGAGTTGAGGCAATGAGTAGAGGAAGTTAAGCACTTGTGGGATGAAAAAAAGGAGCATTGTTTTGCTGAAGTGGCCCAGGATCCCCACCACAGCAAAGGTCATGCCAGCAAAGTAACAGAAGGTGTCCCCAACAAACACTTGGGATGGATACCTGCAATCCACAAGGCAAAGGAGAAAAGGTCTGTCATAATCAGTGTTGCCAATATAATGACTTCATAACCACCTGAAGGCATTCCCTAATGGCAAGATTGGTGCACAAAAGATACCAGTGGATTGCTGCTTTGTGTTCTTAGTTCTAGCAAGAAGCCTGTCCATACTCCAGTATATCGCTTACTCGTTGATAAATGTTTTTGTTTGTAAAGGGAAAAAGAATATGCTTCCAAAGAAATGCTGAATGCCCATTCTCTTACCAGTTGTGGTAAAACAGCCCCAGCGTTGTAAAAAAAAATGGAATCATAAAGTAGAGAGAGAAAATGTGATCATCCTGATAATCCCCTACAGGAAAAAAAAAAAAAAAAGAAAAAGAAAAAAGAAATGAGGTTCTGATAAGACAGGACTAGGTTACTTTCAACTACACTGACTACTGAAATTGAAGTTTCTATTTCCCTTTGCTTTTTGCACTCCCACACATTACCTTACCGTTTAACTCTACAAGGTTGAATGCAATAATGGAAGCAGCAATCACCAGAGACTGCCCTGCTTCAATCCCATTGATTCCAGCGAGAATGTTGATGGCATTAGTACAAAACACTGCTAGCATGCCCATGTATGCATAGTAGAGAATACCTGCAGGTCAGAATGAGGCAAATACTTTAGCATTCATATTTGAAACAGTAAATAGGATCACAGCCTGAAATTCCAGTTTCCTAGGTTTCATTATATAGTGTCTCAGTACATTCTCAAATTAGTAGTTTACTAACAAACAGATCCTTTTCCTGTAAATGTTACCACCTGCACACATGTACAGCACAGTGACTGCAGCAAACTGCTGTGTTTCGTTTCTGTGATTTAGTGATGCTGGGATTGGTATCTGAGGGCCAAGTGCCTTTGGCACTCTCTCATACTGCCAGAAACCTGAAAAAAGGTACGCTACTTATCTATGTATAGGTAAACATATATGCTGGAGCTCTTGATGGATATCTGGATGGCTATTCTCAGCAGCACGATATTTAGTTGGTGATGTTCCCTCTCACTTAATAGTTAGCAAATCTTCCACAGGTTCCCTCTACAGCACAGGGATTGACACCTGCTATGTTAAAGTTTGAGGTGTGCCCCTCAATTCATTGCTAATGACCATCAGTGAGTCAGCGCTTACCCAAGTCCAAGTGCATGCCTAGTAACACCCGGAAAGGCTTAGGCACCACAATGGTTGTGTTCCCAAAGTTGGTGAAGTACACCATAAGTAGTGGGAGGGATGCCATGGTAGGGAGAAGGAGTTTGTGACGCCAGCGTAGGTTCAAAACATCATCTGCAAAGCCCAGGAAAATCATGCAGCAGATGGCAAGGAGTGAGCCAATAAGTTCCACAAACTGCAGGACAGAGAACAGGGCTCCGGTCACTAATGGTCATTCCTTGCTAATGCCTGCTGCACTCCAGGCACAAAGAAGCCTTACCTCGTCGTGAGGAAAGGTCGTGCACTGCTCCTCTATGAAGCACCGCAGAAAGGGCACAGGGATGAAGCAGAAGAGGATGATGAGGAACACGGCCCCGCTGATCATACCCTGTGCCTCGGGGCTGAAAGGAAGGGGAGGCCAGCGGTCAGCTGGGACGTTGCGGGCCGGGGCCGGCCCGGCGGGCACCGCTACTCACATGGGCCGCCGGAAGGCCTTGTTGAGGTCCTCGCCGACGAGGCGCGCTGCCAAGAAGTGGTCTTTGAAGGCCGGTATTAATGTGAGGGTGGCCACGAAACCTAGCAGTGATCCCCCGAGATTGATGAGGAGGGGCGCGGCGGGCCAGGCCACCATGGCCGCGGCGGGCGCTGGCCCTGACGGGCACGGAGCGTCTCTCGGCGCACCTTGCCGGCCGGGCGCTAGAGTAGGATGCACCGGATACGCGCGCGCCTTTTCCGCTCAGTCCGTGAGGGGAGCGCCATCTTTGGCCCTGGCAATGCCAGTGGGCCGGCGCTATCTCTGTTTCGCTGTCGCGTACATCACTTCCTCCTTCCTCCCTCCCCATACCCTGCGGTAGGTGGGCGAACCCCGATAGTGCTGCGCGGGCCGTCTGGTAGCCCCTCAGAAGCGCCCTAGTGGCTTTGGCGTTTCGAGCGGCTGCTCCAGCACCGAGGGCCTCCCTGTCGAGCCGCCTCGACTTTTTGATGTGCTTCGCTGCTCTGTGATCAGCAATTGCCGACGCCGGCAGGGCTCCTGAGCACGGCTGTCGCCTGTAGGCTATGCACGGGGACTCAGTGTGCGGCCCTGGTGGACGGCGGCGCTGAAAAGAACCTTGGGGACTGGGGGTGGCATCGGAGGTGACCATTGGGCAGTGGGAGGTTGCGGTGGGTACGGTGGGGGCAGGGGGCCGCTGGCAGCGCTGTCCTCGCCCGCTGCACACCTGGCGGGGGCCGTTAATTGGCTCCCCAGGAAGCGTCCCTGAACCCGGCACTGCTTTCTTCTGTGAGAGTGAGCAACGGAGTGGCCCCACGGGGAGAAAAAAATAAAAAACCCACGCTAGCTTGGGTCGTCCTGAGCCAGAAAACCGTTACCAGGTGTGTGGTCTTTGTGTGAGTGATCCTGGTTGAATGCAGGACAGGCATGGGTTTGACCACGGGCATTGCATTTGGATGCAAGTCACTGAGTAGAGAAGGAAAACACAGTCGAGGTGAAAGACATAACTGCAGGACAGACTTCCCTCTGCTCTGTGTTTGTGTGGGATGCGGTGAGCTCAGATGGTTTCTGATGGCTTTTTCTGGGCTGATTAGAAAGCTACTGCTGTATCAATAGACCTTTTCTGGTCTATGGTCTGTTGAACTTCTGAGAAAGTTAGTGAAGTATAGCTGAGCCTTAAATTCTAAGGCAGGCATTCGGTTCTTTGAGGGAAGAAACTACAGTATGCATGAGGAGGTTGACCAGAGAGCCTCCTGCACCTGCGGAAATGCCACTGTGGTACGTGTAAAACGAGGGGGGTACAGCTTTTGTTGTCGGCCCTCCTGGGAGAAGGTGACCCAGGGCAGGCAAGCAAACGGGCTCCAGCTGGATGATGAGCTGCAGTGCAGGTGCGCGTGCGTCAGCACAAGTGAAGGGTCAAGCTGAGAGAAAGGTGTTTTCAATAAGAAAGGGAAAAGTCATCGAAGAGCTCATCCATCATCTTCGCCTTGCTCTTTTAGGCCGCCAGCATTAGTTCGTGGCAGTCAGCGACGAGGTTGTCCAGACAGAAAGGCTGGTGGCGGAGGACCCGCAGACCCAAGAGAAAACCTTGCACACGGGCACCGGAAAGGAAAGCGGAGAACAGTGAGGCAGCCACGTAACGCCACGGTCGCCCGCCATGCCGCGGGGAGGCGGTGCTCCGATACCGGAAGAACTCAGGCGGCTGCGTTTGGGGACGCAGTCACCACGCGCGGGTTGGGGTAGCTGTTGTGCGCAGGCGGGCGCCGGGAGCTGCAAGGGCCGGGGGCCGGGCTTGGCCCACGTGCGTCGCGGAATCGGGAGCAGGGCGGCGCGCCGCGTCTCTCCCCTCCTCTCTTCGCCGGGTGGGAGGCGGTAACAGCTAGGCTGGGGCCGGGCGGCGGCTGCCCGCCATGCCTCCCGGGCTGCTGTGAGGCGCAAGGCGCAGCAACATGGGGCCGGATCCGGGCTGGGCCGCACTGGTGTTGCTTTTCGCCGCTTCGCTGCTCACGGTCGCGGCCTGGCTGCTCCAGTACTGGCGGTCGGCGGCTCTGCGATCGCCTCGGCGGCAGGTGCCGGCGACGGAGGAGGCCGGGGCCCGGGCGCTGCTCGCTGCGCTGCTCGCTCTTCGGTCCCTGCGTGAGCAGTGGCAGCGGGCCTGGGTGCGAGCCCTCAACAGCCAGGCGCGCCGGCACGGGGTACGGCAGGGCGCGGGCGGGCGGGGCCAGGCACCGCGTCGGCGGCGAGGCGAAGGGCGGTGAGGCCGAGGGATTGCGTCGGCTTCGGTCGAGGAAGGAAAGCTCCTCACCAAGCACTTGGCTGTATAGTCATGTCCAAAGCAAGCATTCGTTGTGCTATTTTCGGTTTTTTTGGCTACTGCGTGTTGCTTTCTACTGCGCTTGGGTAATGGGGTGCTGATCTTCCATAAGTCGAATATGGCTCATGAATCCCACAGCAAGTATTGTCACGGAAGCTTACGTTGCCTGTTCAGGCCTTAGTACTTCAAGAACTTTGTTGTCTCTTGTTCTTACAGAAGGACTACAGAGCGCTGATGACTGCTGTGTGAAAGAGTGTTGTGTCTTGAGTCAAGTTTAGTTGTCAAAAGAAATTGGTAGCATTGGCCTATAAGAGTATTGCGCTATTGTGAATGCGGATGGCTTGTTTGTAAAGGACTACTTACTCCTATTATATGGCTGATGTGTTTCCTTTCTAGATTATTTTTTTCTGTATGCTAGAGATTTGGGAATTGACTAATTGAATTGACCATGTCTGGGATCTGGAAATTGACTTGTTCCAAATGTAAACTTCCTTGAGGCTTGTCATATGTACGTTGCGTCTGTCTGTTTAGAGGTGTACCAGTGACTCTGCTTGTGAAGCTAGGTATCCCTTATTGCTGCTAGTATTGACAGATTTGGTTTGTCGGAGCTGTTTGACTGTGCCAGTGAGAACACCTAGTCTCTCCTCATCTGATTTTACTCTTTTTAAAGAAAGGAAAAAAACAGGAAGAAGAAAGAGGAAACAGCTGATTGTTTCATTGCGTTCAGTCATTTGCTTTGTCACCTTACGGTCTTTGTAATCTATGTGTGGCACCATGTTTCGCCTCTTCCTTGGACTTGTTAGGTTGACTTGGAAAGGCTGGCCTAGTTTCTCATTCTTTGCTACCTGTGATAAGTGAAATTGTGCTTTGTTTTAATGGAGAAATGCTGCAGCATCTGGCCTCTCTTTTCTGCCTTTGATCTAGTTGGTTAACCCTATAAAATGGGAATGGGTGTTTATATCCCTTTTCAGGCTCAGATGGTGTCAGAGAATAGATTATTCAGCAGTGTTTTTAGGATGAGCTTATCCTTTGACAGGTTTTAATGGTTAAAGTACTTTGCTCCTAAAACATTTGTGGAAAAATGGGGCTTTTCACAAAGGTGTTGTAAATGTGGTGGACATATGATCAAAGGTTGAGATGTCCATCAAACTATACATTGATGCCTGCCTTTGTGGACTTTGCTGCTCCTTCTCTATAGACTGTCTTCTGTTATTTTCATTTATTGTTGTCAATTGATTGTACTTAGTTATTGAATATGGAGAAAATGAAAAGATGTTCCTTTCAAAATAATGTAAGGAAGCTGCGATAAAAGCGAGACTGGACCTGTTGTGTTTGCGTCCTGTTTCTTTTACTGTCTTCTCAGAACACACTCAGAAACTTTTGTTGTAGTACAAGAAAGTTGGTGAACAGTACCTTAAGAATACCGAGGGCAGGAATCATCCATGTTGCAGGTCTGACTTCTGTGACAGAAGTTAGGACTGATTGTGACCAATTGGACTATGTCCTCGATCTTACAGAAGGAGGTACAAGAAGAACAAGAAGGTGTGCTGTATAAGATTGCTGTAGGACTACCCGCTTTAATCTGTTGAAAGTGAATCTTTGGCCTGGAATTAAACAAGACTTGATTATGCACTGTAGGATTATGCTCTTGATAGTTACGGGTAACTATCAAGCGGGTAAGATGGAACAAACTTGATTTGGTGTTTAATATGTCAGCTACTATAAAACTTTGTTTTACATCTCTGCCGCCTCTTCCTCACTTTCCTCCAGTTCTGCAAGTAGCTAGGTTTAACACTGAACCTGAGGTCCACATCCTGAAAAGGTGGTTTCTTCATTGAGGAAAACCAGAATGTTGGGATATACTTGGTTTGTTTATTGTGTGGAAGCTGAAACACTGGATCCTGCCGATGTTGAATCTATTAAGTCTGCTTTTTATTTTGTGACTGAAAGCAAGTTTGTTCTTGTATAGTTTATGTAGCACTGAGGGACTTGCTGTCAGGAGTGACACTTAAAATCATGACTGGCTTAGCCTGGAAGTGACCTTAAAGATCATCAACCTCCATCTCTTTTCTCATGGGCAGAGTTGCCAACCACTAGATCAGGCTGCGCAAGGCCCCATCCAACCTGGCCTTGAACATCTTCAGGGATGTGGCATATACAACTTCTCCGAGCAGTCTGTTTCAGTGCCCCACTGCCCTCTGAGTGAAGAATTTCTTTCTAATATCTAACCTAAATTTTTCCTCTTTTAGTTTAAAGCCGTTTCTTCTTGTCCTACCACTGCTAGGCTGTATAAAATGTCCAGCATACAAGTTTCTTTGAAGCACTAGAAGGCCACTGTTTTTTGAGCCTGTCCAGGACCCTTTGGGTGGCATTCCTTCCTACTATTCTGTCAACTGCAGTACTTACTTTGGTGTCATTTGAACACCTGCTGAGGGAGCACTCGATCGCATCAGCTACATAATTCATGAAGATGTTAAAGAGTACCAGTCCCAAGATGGACCCCTGGGAGGGACCACTCCCGATCAGCCGCCAACTGGGCTTAGAGCCCTCGACAGCAACATTGGCTACAACCATCCAAACAATTCTTTATCCACCAAATAGTCTACACTTAAAATCTGTATCTCTCCAACTCTCCAGAAGATGATGTTGCTGCAGTGAGTTGCTGTGGCTAAAAACAGTTCTGTGAAGCAGGGCTTCAATAGTACTCTCGTGTTCAGTTTGCCTACTCTGTTTGCTCCTTGTGAGGAAAGGGATAGGTTTCTTTAAGCAATGTCCTCAGCTCTTTGTCATGGCCTTCTGTTCTTTGCAAAATATTTTCTGTGGAGGACTGCTCTTGTTACACGGGGAAATCCTTGAATGAGGAAGAGGAATACTTCCACGGTGGAGTTTGTAATCTGATAAACCGTGGAAAGGTGGAAAATAGGAATTAGTCAAGCACATGAGCTCAGATGCTGTATGTTGGAGATAGGTTTGATTGCTGGTGGTGTTTTTGGATTTTTAATTGGGGTGAAATTAGCAGAGAGGAGAGAAAAGAAAAGCGAAGTCTTGGTGATGAAGAAGGTTTAACACTCTCTTACAGTTAACAGATATTCAGAATAATTTTGCATTCTCAATCAGGCTTGCTTGTCTGAAGTTAGTGTTTGTGAGCCTGGACCACTGTTTCATTTCTCTGCCTGGACAAGCCAGAATTGCAGTGTGGACATGTTTGTGTGCTGGTTGGATTCATGGAATTGTACTAGAATGTCTCTGGGGCCCTATGTTAGACTTGTTCATCCTCTTTGAAATTACCTGTGATACCTTGTCCACGGGGAACTAACGGAGTTCTCTTTTTGTAGAGTTCAGTGCAGATCACATTTGAAGAGGGTCCTCAATTACCACCAGCAGCAAATATAAGCTGTGTGACTTGCAAAGGCCAGTCAGGTCACAGCATGGTAAGGCTTTGTTGTTCTGAATTGTGCCATGTTGGGTTTCTCTGCAATCAGTCTTGTATGGGGATTGTCAATGCCCACATGATGGGAATGGTAAACCTGGGGGAAAGTTGTGGGCTGGGTCCATAATTTGGTTCAGAGATTGCAGCTCAGGGACTATACGTTGGTGAACTCTGTGTGAGCAGTGGATGAGATCCATCTGATAAAGTTGAGACGTAGGGATGCTGAGCCTGAATATCAGGGCACTGCAGTGCAGAGAAGAGGGCTTCTTTGTCAATAATCTTTATTGGCTCATATATGGAGTCTTAAATGACATATTTAGAGTGCAGAACTGGGGCTGGCAGATTGATGTTTCTGTCCTGCCTCAATAGGTTAATTTTACTTATTGCTTTTACAGATTTTGCCATCTCAAATCTGCATCTCAGCAAGGATATAAAATTATCAATTTCCTTTTCTCTGTAGGTGCTGTGTTGTCATCTGTCAGCTGAAGCTGTGAAGTTCCCGGTCTCTGTCACCCAGCAGTCTGCAGTTGCTGTTTCTGTGGACACATATCATGTCACTTTGGCTCTGCTCCAGGCTGAGGTAATAGTTGTAAAAAGTTTGTTGGTTTTCTTGTTCTACATAGCCCTATGCTGAAGGAGGAAGGGAGGACTTGGTGTAGTGCAGCTGAAGGTCTTATTGTGCCAGAGAGAGAGCCAAGTTATTGCTACTGTGTGGTGGGCTACTAAGCATTTCCTGATCAGCGTGCAGAGTCCTGTTTTATGAGCATTGTTCTGCAGATCTTGGATATTTAACATCATCTTAATAAAATCTGGGACCATAGAGATGATGTATGGCGGTGTTCTGTACTTGCTTTTAAAAGATCTGCTTGAAAGCTGGAAGATCCACAAAATTCGAAACTCCGTGCAATGCGATAAATAGGGAAATATTCTGTCCTGTTATTGGTGTGAAAAAGAAATCCACTGTGAGGAATGGTTTACTTGCCAGGACTCCCCTCAATACATTCATTTTGTTTCTGTGTTGAATTTTTGGAGATGGAGATGTTTTTCCCAGAAAAAGGAACTGAAATTGCAATGGGTGGTAACTCCACAGTTGCTTTCTGGTTGGATTTGCTTCTCCAGAATTTCATTTTTCCCTCAAGCAGAAGGATTTCTTTGTCTTGGTGGCATCTTCCTTGGATACTGCTTGCTCTTTGGTGCTATCGGAAGAGATGGTAGAATTAAGAGCAGTTCTACAGTGTGAGGCCAGTCCCACGCTACTGCAGACATTACAGTTGGAAAGTTGTTCAAGAATGTTTTTGCTCTTAAAAGCTTTAATAAAATTTTCTGTGTAAGTTTACCAGATCATGCTGGTTTGTTCTTGTGTCTACATAAGAGTTCTTCATTCCTTCTGATTATCTCCTTTCCTTCCTTGGTGTTTAGTATGCCTGCTGCTGATCTCGTTGTGACTGTGAATTGCCATCATTGTTCATCTTTCCTTAGTCTGTAGAGGCCGGGTCAAGACCAAGTCGCTTCTCTACTCGTTGGAATTTCTCCTTGTCTGTGTCTGTTGAAGTTTTGATTTTTGTGTGTCTGATGATCAGAATACTTCAAGTGCTTCTGTCCCAAATTTGTCTTGCCTTTTCTGTTAAACCTCTTGCCAGTTACTTGTCTGGCTACTCTGTCTCAGATCTCTTACTTTCAACTCAAAACTGTGTATTCCAGGTAAAGAAATGTTCAAAAGCAGTTTCTTTTGTTGAACTGTGTTCTGTGTTAAATTTAAATTTTGTTCCATTGTTTTTAATAGCGATCTTGAGTTGGGAGTTTTTCCTCTGTCGTTTCATTTGTGTGTTGTATTAATGATACCTTTATTTTGTATGGATGTGGAACTTTTCAACTGAACTACAGAATACTGAGAATACTGTACAGGCTGTGTTGTTGTTGCAGACTGTTGGTGACCTGAATGAGTTTGCAGACCAAGGATGATTTCCTAGAGACTTTAGAAATGGTTCTACTTATGTTTGACAGTGGTTAATGACGTAGCTCCACAAATACAATGTATTAGTACCCAACTTGCTTTATCAGATTGTCCTGGGGGCTTTTTCTTCAGCCAAAGAAGTAAGGGTTTTTTTTTTTTTTTTTTTTTCTTTGATGATGTCTGGACATCCAATGGCAGTGAGGAAGCTGGATATGGAGTGATGAATATTCTGTAGCCAGTTACTCTCTGAAGCCCAGGACCACCTATGTTCTTCCTTGTTTTTTTTTATAGCTGCAATAATGGGGAGGCCCTTTTAGTTGCTGAAGGTGAAGCAGGGCAAGAAACACCAAATGAAAACAGAGCGTTCTAACTGCATATTTGTTCTGGGTCAGGTGGAGATCCACTTGGAGGAGATACAGAATCAGGGTCTCCTGGTGTCATGGACATTCAAGGACAGACCAGACTTGGATCTTTCAGTTCTTCCAAGACTTCAGCCTTGTGAGGTAAGCAAACAGGGAGGCTAAACTCAGAGGGAAGAGGGAAAGTGCTAAAGGAGTGCATTCTTAAAGAGAGCTAAAGCAGTTCTGATACCTGCTTTCTGAGTTTTGCATAACATCTGAACTCTGAATAGAGTCTACGTAGCAAAAAATGCTTCCTGTCTATGTAGGTTCTACTGCTGTTGCCAATTGCAGAGCTGCAAAATGAATTGGAGTATTTTATTTTACTTTTTGGACTTGTAAAGCTCAGAACTTTGAGTTCTGAGTGTTTTTGGCTCGATGAGCTGAACACAGATGTGCTTGCAACTCAGGGTGTTGTTTTTTTTTTTTTTTTTTTTTTTGTTGTTGTTGTTGTTGTTGTTAGTTTTATTGAAATCCTTGTCTTATCCTTAGCGGATGTAGGAATTTGGCTTTTATGAAAGTGGTGGTGGTACTGTTACATGAAGTGGCAAGGATACAGTAAGCCCTAAAGGCTTTATTGTCAAAATTTGCAATAGGGAGACTACAGATGTAAAGGTCAATTTATCTTGCTTATATAGCCTGTTTTTGCCAGTAACTATTACAGCAGCGATTAAGCGCTGGGGAGAGGGTATACAGGACAGAAGAAGAGTATGTGGGAGGGTATTTCTGGGAGAAGGGCTGCTTAGCATCATGGAGGCTTTAGAGGCAGTTGCAGCTGTATAAGGAGAAAAATTGTCTGCCTCCGTGTGACATTCCTGCATTTCCTTTGGGTTTGTGGAGAGAAGAACGAAGGGAAAGCGGATCTGTCCACCATAAAGGATCTAATCGAGGATACTATTGTCAGCACGCAGCCAGCCATGATGGTGAATCTGAAGGCTTGCACAGCTGGAACTGGCACAGTAAGATTCTCTTCCTGTAGCATTCCTCGTGCCTTGTATGCTGTGCCCTGAAGTGCTTTGGAGGGCCTAGGCTCATTTTTAGACAGCAGTCACGTTCTTAACAATAATTGGGGTATTGTGGCACAGGGAGTGGGGGGGAATTAGTAGGGAAAGACCTTTGGCGTGTCGCCTTTGGTTCCCCCTTCAAGTAGTCAGAAAGCTCATTCCTATCTGTCTCTTTTCGTGTCTACCCTAAATTTCATGTCTGAAATGACATGGGGGCCCACCGAAGGTTGATAGCTTGTGGAATCTGCACTACCTCTAGGTGGCTTTGTGGATATTCCCGTGAGGAGCATTTGTGAGATGTAAGCACAAATGTTATGTGTCTTACTGCTATCTGCTGAAAAGCAAATGGTAAGTCATCAGTCTTCCTCTCATGATTCCTCAGGTATCCAGCAGTAAGGTGACCCAAGAGTCTCCATACAGTGTAGTAGAAGCCCCTCTGGGTTCAAAGCTGTTGCTCCGGAATCTTCGTGTGCTGAACTTAGGCTCACAGAGGAGTGGAGGTAAATGTGAAAACACTGCTAAGCTGAAGCAGGGCAAGTGTGGAGGTAGCAAGGTTAGAGCAAGTGGATGTTTGTATTGAAATGGAAATATGTGTGTGTGAGCTCTGCCTTGTATTTACAGGTGCGTACATGTTCTCTTTCTCTGTTGCAGGAGTTGGGGAGATACGCTGTGTTGCAGAACTAGACAGTCCCCCGCAACAGAAACGGACAAGGCCAGCGAGAGCTGGTAGCACTGGCATTGCTGCAGAGATGGAGTGGAATGAAGAGCTGTTTCTGTAAGCGTCTCCCACCCTCCTGGCAGTTGCAATAAAGGCAGACTAGCATGACCTCTTTGTGGAGGTGATGTCTGCAGTGCTGGTGGCGTGTTTGTGCTGCTGGTGTACCGGGCTGCAAATACTAGTGATTGGCCCCAGCTTGCATGCGTATTTCCTGCTTCCTTATATGGTGTGTGTTTTAACTGGATGGGCAGAAGTGCTGATTGTGTGGAGTACAGGGGCAGGAGCACTTAAATTTCTAGACAGTTTTATTAGCTTGCTCTGGAAGCTTATGCAGCCCAACATGGGACATAAACTTGAACTCTCTTCACCTTGCTGCTCCTTCTTAAGGCCTCCAAAACAAGACACGCATTCCAGAGCTTTGGAAAGGTGATTTGAGGGAAGGAAAATATTAAATGAACTTGTTTACACTGCGGCATTTCTTCAAAGACTGCTTAATCCCGGTTCTTCTGTCTCTGTTTCAACAGTGAGTTAGGACCCAGAAGTAAGGAGCTGAAGTTACAGGTGCTGGGGAAAAGCTGCAAAGGGGAAGGTAAGTATGAACAGCCAAAAAATGGATTCTAAGATGAGATGACAAAACTGCCTAAGGAACTTGCTGTGCTTTGAGCCAGTGATTCTTCTATGTTGGAATCATATGTTACAAATTCTGCAAGGGATTTCCGTATCAAACCTTATATGAGTCTGTGTGTAAAGTACCTCTCAAGTCAGTTGTCTTTACTGCGGGTCGTGGGACCCTTTAACTTTCTTGCCTGGAAGCAGTGAGAGGGATGCAGAGACTTGTCCATGTGTATTGGAAGAACAGGGCAGAGGCTCTTAATTCTTTTGGACTTGTGGTCAGAGTACAGACAATTGCACATTTTTGATGGAGGCTGCAAAAATACAACTTGTCTAACATTTGTTTTGTAGATCAGCAAAGCAGAGCCTCTTCTGCTGAATCTGGGACTTACTGGAATTAAGGCGATCTGCTTTGATGTCCCGTAGGTCTAGTTTCCAAAAGCAGATGGACCCTGGGAAAGGTCTGAGGTGCTGAGAAGTCATGTGGTTTTTCTTTTCCTTTTTCCTTTTGCAGATGTGCTGCTGGCACATACTACTCTTTTGCTTGATTCTTTGGGCAAACAGCCCTCTGGGAGACAGGTCTGCTCGCTGGCCTCAGGAGCTGGGCAACCACTGGCAGCTGAAGCTACCATTGTATTGGAGGTGAGCTGATGACTTCGTAAGCTCTGTGAGTGCATGCTCTAGAAATATTTGTAATGTGAGACCATAGCTGGAAACCAAAGTGATTAGGTCTGAGCCTGTTGCAGGGGACTAGCAGAGAATGTCTGAGAATGTGTCACCTCACCCTTAGTCCCTGAGCTTCCCTTCCATTCAACAGATGTTGCAGTGAGGATGGCTCCTTAGTGTCCAGAGCGGTAGCTTTTGTTGTTTGTATGCCCGCCTTTCATTTTGGGAGGAGGGTAGTCCCTCCTGAGCTGTGTTTTATTTTTTGTAGCTTTTATACCAGGATTCTTCTGCATCTCTGAATGCTCAGCATGCCACATCTCTGCATACCAGCATCACCCCCACAAAGAAGGTGGAGATGGACCGGACCATCATGCCTGACGGCACCATTGTGACTACTGTCACCACAATTCAGTCCCGACCCAAGGTGGATTGTAAGCTGGGTGAGGCTGCCCTGAGATAGGAGTCTTGTACAGGTGGCTGTTCAGACACCAAATGTTGGGTTGTTGTGGACTTGTACTTTAAGTATGAAGTGGGTGAATGGTGCTTTTGGCTTTCAGATTATTGTCCTGTGGCTGTCTGGAGATTAGTGGGAAGCATTGAGGGGAGGGAACTGACATATTGATGCATCTCCTGTATTTGGAAAGAGACATCAGAGGGATGAGCCTCTCTGACATTGAGGGTGGGACTTCTGCGTGATGTTGGACTAAACATTTTGGCTTTCTTACTCTGTTTTCTTCACTGCTAAATGAGTTGTGCTCTGTGTACTGAATACAGGCCTGAAAACCTGTTGCCCTTGCTTACCAGTTGTTGCTGCTTGCAGTCTCGGCCTGATGTCTTGGTGAATGTAGTGCTGGTTATTTAGTGAGGTAGGGTTGGGAAACAGCACAAACAAGGGCTTGTGACAGGGCTGCTTTGCGTGTCATTCCATTTGCTTCTTACTACTTGACTGCTGCAAAGCCTCATATCGGCAGCCTCTGCAGATGTTCTGTGTGTGTGTATGATGCTGTGTGTGTAGGGGACCATGACAGTGTGATGAAGCTGCCTCAAAGCTGCCACTTTCTTTTGTCTATTTTCCTATTGTATTTTCCTATCTTTCACTATGAAGATTCACCTTCAAGGTCACCATCCAAGGTGGAAGTGACAGAAAAGAAGACAACAGTGCTTTTGGAAAGCAGCTGTCCTCACAACTCCTTGTCCAGCAGCAGCCGTAAGTGCTTGCGAAACAGGGCTTCTTAGTGGGGCGGTAATGTTTCTTAGCCTTTCTCAGTAAGCGGCTGTCTGAGTGAGAGTTGCTGAACTCATCTGCATTTGCTGCAGAAGAGAAAGTCCAAGTACCTAAGGGAAGAAGCGAAATAAGGGATGGGAGGGCGGGACGTGGAAGCAAGTAAAAGAAGTGCTTCTGTGGCTCTCTCATCTGTTAATCTCAATGTTTCCTTGTCTGACAAAAACATCTCCAAAGTATCTGAACCCAAAGAAATTTGCTCATGCTGTATCTCTGTACTTAGTGTTTCTGATTGTCTCTGGGACAGGGTGCTTAGGCTCTTTGGATGCTTTGTGGCCAAGGCTGTGTGACCTCTTGTAAGTCTTTGGAAGTTTTTTTTAAGTGGGAAATGGGAAAGGTATTTTAATAATGCATCTGTTGGGAAATCAAGCTTAACAGGTGCCTAGAAGAGATGAGAACTCTGTGGAGCATCCTTTCTTTAATGTCTTTGAGCAAATCTATAATAAATTCTGCTATCTATTGTAACATACATGCAGTAGCCCATTAAAAGCATCATGGTCATTAAGTGACCTCTTGCCTGTGTTGAAGGACACTACTTCAGGTGTTGATATCTTTCTTGTGCTCAGGAGACAGCCAGATGCCCAATGGCTTGGATCCAGTGGCTGAGACGGCAATCAGGCAGCTAACTGAGACAAATAACAAGCCTGCCAAGAAGACCCCAACAAAACGTAGCACGCTGATCATCTCAGGAGTTTCCAAGGTGTCTGGCAGTTAGAGGTCTCCATTTTCATTCTGGGAGGTTGTTTCTAGGAATGTGTGTGTGAAACTGCCCTGTCCTCTAGGGAACGATAAGGAAAGATCCCGTTGCAGGGGACTTGCTCAGCAGAACCTTTTTGCTGCTTTCTTGCAGCTTGTTCTTATTTCCCAGCAAACATCAAGGTCACCTCATTAGTCTGCAGGGCAGCTGTCATGGGAAGCTCACAAAGCATGGCAGGAGAAGAGGAGGCTGTTGATGTAGCCAATTGGGAAACCTCATAGAGAATCTGAGTTATCCTGGGACTTTCTTATGGGAGTGAGGGAAGTACTGCAAAATGTAGTGGAATCAGGTATCTTCCAGTATGTTTCGGCAAAAAAATAAGTGACCATTGTATGTCTGTGCTTTCTAGCATGGTTGACCAAAACTGGAGATAAATGCAACGCTTTAGATCTTGTCTTCCTGTCTGACCCTCTAACATCCTCCAGGTACCTCTTGCTCAAGATGAAATGGCACTTTCTCTGGGTTATGCTGCATCCATGGAGGCCACAGTATATGGAGATACTGGGGCAGTCTGTGCATCTGACCAGGTGCATGATTCCACTGAGTCATCACAGCTGCTGGAAGCATCACCATCAGAACAAAGAGCCGGTCAGGAGCTGGATGAGACGACGCGATCTGACATCTCTGAGAGACCGTCTGTGGAAGATGTTGAATCTGAAACTGGCTCCACAGGAGCCCTTGAGACCAGGAGCTTGAAAGATCACAAAGGTGAGGGTGAACTGTTAGCCAGTAGCTAACGTCAGCTTGTTGTCTCTGAGGAAGAAGTAAGACCTTTGCAGCTTGCATATTCCCAAGACAGTGTTTTGGCCTCTGAGTTTTCAGATGAGACACATATCTGTCAATAGCGATTCTTCCTCTAAACTCTGCTGCTGTGGTGCAGAGCTGCAGATTGTGTGGACCTTGATACGCTCTGTTTTCTCCATTACCATCAAAGTAGCTAGCACCTCTGGCCTGCAGTACTATAGTCCCCACAGGCTCCCAGCTTTTAAACAGTGAAGGGTAGGTCTGCCGTGACTGAGGTGCTGTTCTGGAATATCCAGGTTTGTGTCAGTTGGGCAGTCTGCATGACTTGGATTGGTTTGCTTGAAGCCGTGATCGTTTCAGTTTGCTACAAATTCCCTAAGCAAAGGCAAGCCAATAATCTGTTTCTCAAAATCGTGTTGGTCTTTTGTTTGCATGTCAGGTGAAAAGGTATGTGGCCCAGATGCACAAGAGACCTGGTGAGCTGGGAAAAGAAGGAAGAAAAAGAAGGAATTGTGGAATTGCTCAGGTTGGAAAAGACCTTAAAGATCAAGTCCAACCGCAACTTAACCATACTACCCCAACTCTTAACAACCCTCGCTAAATCACGTCCCTGAGCACCACATCCAAATGGTTTTTAAGCACATTCAGGATGGTGACTCAACCACGTCCCTGGAGAGCCTATTGCAGTGCTTAACAACCCTTTCAGTAAAGAAGTTTGTCCTGATATCCAACCTAAACTTCCCCTGGCACAATTGAGGCCGTTTCTCCTCGTCCTGTCACCAGTGAGAAGAGACCAGCCCCGCTTTTGCTGTAATCACCTTTCAGATATTGGAAGAGAGCCATAAGGTCTCCCCTCAGCCTCCTTTTCCCCAGACTCAACAGCCCCAGTTCCTTCAGTGTCTCCTCGTAGGCCTCTAAGCCCTTCAGCAGCCTTGTTGCCCTTCTTTGGACCTGCTCCAGCATCTCAATGTCCTTTCTGTACTGAGGTACCCAAAACTGAACACATTATTAGAGGTGAGGCCTCACCAATGCAGAATACAAGGGCAGTATGACTTCCTTAGTCCTGCTTACTGTGCCATTCCTGATACAAACCAGGATGTCATTGGCAAAGAACCCCACTATCTATAGAAAATACTGTTGTAGCACTGAATAATGGGCAGGTTTTGGATATGCCTTTGTGTTCCCTTTTGGGGCTGCCAGTGAGCAGCATTTTCATCCTGTCCTGCCTCTCTATGCCTTCAGGAGCCATCGCTGTTTTTTTTCTTCCAGATTTGCGCATATTGTGAAACTGCAAACAGTTGTGCTGAGAGTGTGATGACCAGCTAATCTAGATGCCCATATGATGGGCTAGCCCAAGAAGCGCTTTCCCTGTTGTATGTGTTGCTGTGGATATCTCCACACTGTGATATTCCCAGTCATTTTCCACATCACTCTTAACTTTAATTTAAAGTTCTTCATGACTCCTCTCAAGTAGATGGCTGCATAAAAGGAAGCTTATGTACAGGAGGTGTGTTTTTAGGAAAATAGCTTTGTATTGCAGTCTGTGCTGAATCTGGACTTTGCCTTGCAGTTGGAAGCTAGGACTCACTTGACCTGTGTGCCTTTGCTGATTGGAATGATGGTCTCTTGTTTAAGAGTGGCCAGATAGCAGTGTGTATTTGTCGTCCCAGAGACTCACTAGTGCAGGACACCACCATGATTGCTATCTTCTTTCTGTCTTTGCAGTTAGCTTTCTTCGGAGTGGTACCAAACTCATCTTTCGGAGAAAGAGCAAACAGAAGGAAGCTGGCCTCAGCCAGTCACATGATGACTTGTCCAACGTCACCGCTGGTTCTGCCACCAAGAAGAAAGCTGGCAGCTTCTCCCACCGCCTCATCAAACGTTTCTCCTTCAAGTCTAAATCCAAACCTAAGACTAGTGACAACACAACAACAGGTGAGAACTGAATGAAGGAGAAGCCAGCTGGAAGGATTCAACAGAAATTGTCTTCTCTTCTCTCGTCTTTCCACTCCACTGGTACCTGTGACCTGCAGTCCAGTTCCTTACATCCTTGTTTGAGGGAAGACACCTTGGTACTTGACACTGTCTAGGGAGCGAAGGTGATGAACCCAGGGTTGAGGCTGCTTAACTGTCTTTGCTCGGCCTTCTCTGACTATTATGCTCTCTCAAAAAAACCTAGCTGATACGCTAATCCCCATTGGAGTCCCAGGAGCTGAAGAAATGACTCTGTCTGTGTAGCTGTCCAGCTTCACTAGGTGTTTCCTTGAAAGAGGGGGGGATTTTTCAAGTGACAGCCTCACTTAAAAAGTGAGAATCTGCTAAGGTATCTGCATTTTTCAAGAGCTATGGGTTACATAACCCATAATAATAGCAGAATTCTGCACCTCGCAGAATTCTGATATTGAGAAAGGATGGTGTGGTCATGAGCCATTCACATGTTGCTCTTGCTTGGTGCAGAGGCTTGTTGCCTGACTGAGGTGTGTGATGCGTTTTGGGGTGGTGCATTCTTGGCCTAAGAGCTGTGAGCAGAATGAGATACTGTTCCCCTATTGGAATGGCTTCTGGTTCAGAGGGTGCTGAGGAAGCCTGCTTTCTGCGCTCTACTGATGAAGAAAGGTGTCTAAGGACAAAGAAGTCTTAAGCACTAGGCAAGTTTTCTGTAGAAGGTGGAGTCCTTGCAAAGTTTGGTTGCTGCTCTTGGTGTGCCGCCTGATGACGCAACCCTCCTGTATTTGTGTTCTGGAGTGGGGAAGGGATCTTGTTGCATGCATGTACCAGCTGTCTTCTGTACGAGTGGAACCCTTTTCCTTGTGTGTAGCTGGGGCTTTCCCAGTGTTCTGCTGGAAGATGGCAGAAGCTGTCATCTGGTCCTGCACTGTGCGTGGCCTCGTTCTCTATCAGCCCTCGCACCAATGAGCAATATCGTGCTGGAGTTGGAAAGTGAGAAATGTGGCAATACCAGCAAAAGAGCAGTGTGATATGAAACCTTAAGCTGTGTGGCAACACAAGTGAGGAGCTTACATGTTTTCATCATGTTCCTCTGTTTTCACAGAGGAAAGTATAGAAGGAGCCTTTCTTGGTGGTATTTGATACTCTCCTTCTTCTTAAAAATGTCTTTTTCTGTGTTTAAAGTGGAGGTGTTTTTGCAGTGGGTGTTTCTTGAGAGAGAGCAGCTTGGGGGAAAATCAACTGCTTGCATGGGAGTAAACACTGCCCTTCCAAATTAATGTTTTTCCAGTCTCCTGAGATGCATGCATTAGTGAATATTTGCAGAGGCCCGGTTTGGATGAGTGTTACAGTGCTTCCTGAGGAAATGATAGTGCCCTGTCAGAGTAGATGGTTTGAATGTGGAAGCTCTTTCTGTTTTGTGGGTTGTGGAGTCAAGTGAACGGAGCAAAAGGGAGGAGGAAAAGCCTCAGAAGAGAGATCATGTAGGCCTGGCTGAGTTTTCTAGCTGCTCTTTTCTGTTAAAATGTATTTTGAAACTATCTGTGACACAGTGCATCATGTCAGGACAAAACCTAGGTTACTGATAGGGCCTTGTGCCATTTCTGAGGACTGCAGTGTGCTTGGTAGGTTGCTGTAAAGGGATTTATCGGTAGGGATTTAGGGTGTGTCTCAAAAGTATCTGAAAATAGGGAAGACCATAGTCACTTAGGCTTGGATTTTAAGTGTCGATGTGTGCTGAAAGAAAGGACTCTTGTTTTCAATCTGCTGATTCGTCACAAGGTTGAATGTACCTAGTAAGTTTGACTGTTCCAGTTGGCTGACCAGGCAACTTTTCTCTATTTTTCAAGGTCTGAAATTCTTTTTGCCATTCCCCAGTTCTTTTGTATCTTGTCTCCTTTTTTTTTTTTTTTTTTTTTTTTTTTTAATTTCTTTCCTTGTCAGCATGGTACTGTGGCTAGGCCTGTGTGGCTTTCCGTGCAGCTTGATGCACTCCAGATGTCACAGAGCTTGCTAGTCAGTAAGAATAATGAAAATCAATTTATTTGATGCGCCATGTTGGGAAGTTGGCTGTCTGCAACTAAGCCCTAGTAATCTCTGGTTTGGCGTAGGTTTCCTACTCTGGATCAGTGATGTATCACACGCGGAACTTTTTCATAGGTGTTGTTCCCAAAGCCCCTCAGGGTTTGGTTCTGGTTTTTGTATTCTCTCTTGCAATGTCCCTCTGTCATTAACATTATTTGGTGCTGTTGTATTTTTGTTTGTTTTTTTTTTTTTTCTAGGTAATTTTGAGGGTTTTTTTAACGAAGTGTGCTGGTTGTGCCTTGACAGCAGAACCTCTCTGGTGGGATCACTAAAACTTTGTATTACCAGTGGCTTTGAACTGAAGGGCTGCTGGCTCTTCCTACGGATATACAGTTGGACCTTCTACAAGTCTTATTTAATATTTATGTATTCTTTAAAGCTATATGAGCAGTGTGAGCTATCTTGGCATGGGGCAGCTTCTGGCAAGTGCCTGGGGCTCCCACCAGTGCTTCTGGAATGTTAATGTAAGAGCAGCTGTGAGGGGTAGTGAGCACTGCCCTTGTTGGCATGGATTGCTCTGCAAAATGCCAATGAGATTTGTGTCATAAACGTTTATCTAATTTTAAACAAGAATAGTTTGTTCCACTTCAGAGGAAGGACACAACAGGAGAGCTGGAAGTAAAGCACAAACCAGAGTTCTTCACTGGCCTCAGGGAACCAGGGAGGTTTTTCTAGCTGTGTTAAATAGGTTATTCCTAGAATACATCCGTGCATCATAATGAATTTGTTCCTGCTTAGTAGGCTCCAGGATAAGGTAGCTCCGAAGTGGAATTACTGTTTTTGATATTTTACCTTTGACCTTTCAAAAGAATTACAGTAATGTCTCAAAAGAATTTTCTCAGAATATCCTGCACTGTCATCCATAGAGTGAATGGCATACATGGTGCATGATGGTGATTGTGTTTTTTAACCTTGAATTTTTGGTGGTGTTCTTTATCGTGGGCAGTAAATTGGATGTGGGAGTTTGCATCTGGCTAGATAGCTTAGTAGCTAGCTAGTCTCCAGTTCAGACAGGGTACATCCCCAAACATTAACTCATATGTCTGCTTTTGTTTTCTTTCCGCCACATCAATTATTCTTGAAGTTCTGAAGTACAGAACTGGTATTGTAGCCTATGTTTTTCTACAAAATGTTCTCTATAAGTGCAGAATATTTTTCAGAGTATTTAGATAAGATTTGGGGGACAGTAAGGTAAAGGAGAATGGGTCGGTCCTCTGCGCTTAGAGTTTTTTAGTACATTCTTGATTTCTTGTACTTTAAAAAAAAAAAAGAAAAGGTTTTAAATCTGCTTTAGATGTTTAGGTTCTTGTGGATACTCATTCCCTCAGCTTGTTGCCACTTCAGAGTCTGCGGATTTTATAGTGACAGGCCACAGAGCAACCACAGTGTGCAGTGCAGGCTGTCATCTAATTCTTTTAGACTCCAGCGATCTTGTTAGGTTGCAGTCTCAGAGTAGCCTCAATATTTGCACTTAATGAAATTAGTCCTTGACCAAATAATTGCATGGAGAAAAGGAGTGGAAGTGTGGTGAACATGAACACAGATAGTATTCAGAAAGAGTTCTGCCTATTTATGTGAGCCTGTGTTCCAAATGCTACATTTTGCTGCTGGCTACAGAAGAAAAAAGAGGGACTATTAAATGAAGCCAAAGTATACTTTTTTTTTTTTCCCTTGGTGTATTGGATGAAAAAAGGTGGTAGAATTTACCTATTCTATGTATTTTCACTTCATTGAAGAAAACAGATTTCTCTAGCTATTTGCTTGTAACTGTTTCTGTCTGGATGTGCACTCTCCTCGCATTTTGGCAAGGCTTTTAAGCATCTCCCTGTTGAAAAAGCCCTTGACATCTGCCTGCCCTCTTAAAGTGAGAAAAACGTGCAGGAACGAAGGGACCTGCAAAAACCATCAGTGCTTTAGCTTGCTATAGGCTATAATGTGACAAACGTTGACTGAGGCCTGATACTTGGAGAGAAGGTTCAGTGGCTGCCCAACTCAAGGGTGCAAGGATTGGCTACGTGCTTGCGTGTTTGCACATGCTTGTGAGTAGAAAACGTTCTCTGAATTTGTGAAACTGATTGCAGTGCACAATGACCGGACAGACACGGTTGGAGGGCTTGGGAGAGGCCTTAAGTGGTATCCACAAAATATGTCTTGCTCTGATACATCTCTCCAGAGGTAGACTTGAGGACAAATCTAACCACCGCATCAGTTTACACCTTCAAAATGCTTAAATAGTTGAGAATGACTTTTTAGACGTGCTTGGCTGAAGTGGGGGAGAAGGAGCAGAGACTACTCAACTAGCCAGAAAACAGTTTAGCGGAGGGGCGTGTGCTGTTTCTACTCTTGAACTGGATATATTGAAATGTGTGTGCTTAAATGCTTTTATTACTATTGATGCTGCTTCTTACGACGGCTGATCTGAGTTCATGTTTGCTAATCCTATAGAGAAGGAGCTGTTACTGGGTAGCTGTCGAGATGCTTGACTGCTGGGTGGATGGTATTTGCTTCTGGGATCTTTTGCTGTGTTCCTCCTCTCCCTGCCCCTAGTTCATGGTGAGTGTAATGAAAGTAACAGTATCAGTGGCGGTCAAACTGCTGAAAAAGACCTTCATGTACTTGTGATATTTAGATTTTTCTACACAGCATGATGACTGCTCTGAACCATCTTTCCTTGCTTGTAGAGGTACTGGACCAAATATGTATGCTAAATCTGAATTAGCACCCTTCCTTTTGCGTGCTTTTTTTTCTCCTAGCATTTTAATGCCTTTTTTCTAGGTGGTTTATTTTAACTCCAGGTTGTTTGAAGGGAAAAAAACAGGAACTCTGTAGTTATTTAAGAAATGGAAATAAAATGACCTAATTCAGACAAAATGAATGAAGTTATTGCACCTTTGTAAATGTTGAAGAATTCCATTGCTGTGTAATGGCTGAACCTGTTAACTTATTAAAACATGTGGAAATGAAAACCTGATCCTGAGCTTTACTTCATACATGCTGAAGTGTTGTGTGTGGGCCGTGAGCTTTCTAGAAGTCCATAAAGGTACTAGATTTGTTGCTCTGTTTTGTAAGATTGCCACCTCTGAATAACCCTTTTTTGCGAAAAGTAGATACAGTCTGCAAGCCCTCAGCAAGTGCTGAAGCTTTTGTCTCTCCCTGTCTTATCTGTCTTAATCTCTCTGTCCTTCTCTTTCTCTCATTGACTCTTGCTATATCCCTCTGCCCATCTGATTGTCTCCTTTTTAAATCTTCTTGCATCCTGCTCCCTTATTCTTAATTTTTTTCTTCCTCTGTCTCTGCCCTACAGCCCATGGCTACGGGAGGTGACTGTTCCCCGCTGGCTGGGAGAATGCTGCACCAGACCTGACCACTGAGGAGAAGGAAGAGTATAGAGGTGCCAAGCGCTGCAACAGACCTCTTGGGAGTTGTGTGCATTAGTGGCTTACTTTGCACTTGGCAAGTGGCTGTACTGAGTGAAGGAGCCTTACATATTGTGGGGGTCTGGTGGTGGCGTTGTGCTCTCAAGGGCTGTATCAGTGGAATGGTTCTGGAGAAGCCATGTGTTTGGACGAGAAGAGAGTGGTGATGGGGGAACAGCTGCTCTACACAGGGCCAGTGGTGGCTACAGGATGTGGGATGGGAGGAGGAAGGGAGTGATGGTGGTTGGGCTGCATTCGGTTTGCTGCCTGAGAGCTGTGGATGTTGCAAGCTGAGGGAGAAAAAGGAGAGGGATTGGGGCTGTACCTGGGCCATGGGGCCCACGAGAAAGTATCCTGTGACCAAGGTGGTAAGTGACATGGGATTGGGATGTGGCTTTAGGACTGATTGGTGGGATTGTGCTGAGTAGGTCTCGGGAAAAGACCCAATGAGGGTCTTGGTTGTGCTGGAGGTGTGGAACAAGGGTGGAGATGTTCCAGTTTCGTAAGTAGGACATGTACTTTGGGAGACCAACAGAATGAATTAAGGCCAGTTAACGCGAAGAGCTCCTGGCCTTGGGTCTTGCTTGCTCTGTCTTGCTGGAAAATATTTCCTGAGACTTACAGGGTTTCCTCACAGTAAGTTCATAATCTGTTCCACTTACTTAGCGTGTATCCCTGGAAGGATGATTGTAGGAGACAAGATCTGAAGCATTTTAAAAACAAATAAAACACCAGAAAAGAAAACCCAAACCAAACTATATTGACCCAGTGAAGGCAGCAGATTAAACGTTGGAAGGCTTAGTTCATTTGTTTGTTTTGGTTAAATTAGTCACGAATTTGCACAATTCATGTTTTCACATTTTGGATGCTGTCAGTCACGTTAGTTCATTCTGTAATTTGGAAAAGAAGAATTAACTTTGTTCTTTAGGAATTAAGCTCTCTTTCTTTAGCCCATACTTCATCGCTCAGGGAGGTGCTATTTTTGATCTAATGTAACGCCTTCCTAAAATTCAGTCCAATCTCAATTCTCTACTGTCTAGTTACAAGAACTTCCAACAGACTGCAAAGTCAGGCTTTACAGGCCAGAGGTGGAGCTAACACGGAGGCCTCTGGATTTTCTGGATTTTCAAAAAAAAACAGGAGGCTGAGAATCAGGTGCTTTGTTTGACTTTTTTACTGCCTGTCCTACCTAACAATTCTGTCTATCCATAGGGCACACATTTGGTTGGGCCCTAGCAGCTTGGTGCTTATGAATGTAGTTCTTTCTGATGCTGAGCTGCGCCACTTGCTGTCTAGACCAAATACACATAATGTTGGAGGAGCTTATTTTTTTCGCTTTCCTTTTTTTTTTTTTCCTTGGAGCAGTAGTACGGGGAAAACATAGATACTTTCTTCTATGCCAGTATGTTTCCCATAGCAGTATTCTAGGTATGGCTTCTGTTGTTGATTCCTTACTTCCTTGTTTTAAATACTGAAAGAAACATACTATTCTTTTTCTTCTGCCTATGTAGAACACCCTTTGTTTCCTTTGTATTTTTGAGTTGTACTCTCAAACAGAGCGTACAGCTGGATCTAGAATAGTTGCCAAAGAGTTGCCTGTGGGCAGATTGTGTTGAATTTCCCAGATAGAGGTCATAAAGTTTCTTGCCTCCTTGAGAAGTGTTCTTGTATTATTCTTATATAGCATTGTGTGTTTCTGCTGTATGGAGATATATATTTTAACTTATTATAATTCCATTATATGTCTCCCAAAGGTGATGGTGAGAAGCATGCATGGTGATGACTTATGTGTACTTCATGCTTCACATTAATTCTTCCTTTGGGTCAATAGTAAACCAAATCCTTGAAAGAGTGACTGGGAATCCCACCATTATTAAAAGGGTTCAACCGTGGTGCCTGTGGCAGAAGGCCCTGTGACAGATCCTGGCAGCAATTGGGAATGAAAGAACTGATGACAAGTTGTTGAATATCAAAACCAATCCAGTGGATATTTACAGGCATTGGGTGAACGGGATGGACTTTCAGAGTGGTGAGGCCAGGTACAGAAGCTGTTACTACTGTATTTCTTCTAAAAGTAGCTTGGCTGTTTTGTGTTGCTCTGTTAATCGTTCTGTTAAACGTTCTTTTTTCTAAAAAAAACCCAACATTTTGACACTGGCAAAAAAAAAAAAAACAACCCAAAATATCAATTTATTTTTATTATGTATTTATTTATTGACAGATATTCATAAGCACTTGGCACAAGCTTGCTGGGTGTGGAGAAGTTTTCCGTGGTTTTCTTTGTCTTTTTAAAATTTATGTTATTTTCTCCCCTCTCATGCGCCATGTAACTGCGGTTTTCCTTTGCTCTCACGAAAAAAAGAGAACGGAGCACCAGGGACTGCGGTGCTGCTTCGCGTCAATCCGGTCAGAGTCGTTGTTTTCGCGGTCTCTGGTGCCCCCACGTGGCCAATCGGTGGAATTGCGGCAGTATGTCGCAGGCAGCAGGACGCATGCGCGCAGGCGCGCGGAAGTGGTGTACGTATGTTTTTGTCGCTCTGCGCAGCAAATACGCCGATCTTCCTTATACTTAATCCTCCAAGTACTAGTGCGCTTGCGCTAGAAAGCTTATAATAACATTGTTTCTAGGAAGCCCACGCGTGCAGGTGAACAGTCAATTCCTAGACCGCCGAGTTCTCATTGTCTATTTGCTCTGCGGTGTAATACATGAGCCTGCCCCGGGAACAAACTATTTTGGTTTCCAGCGGACCCTGCGTACGTCGCATGCGTAATGAGCAGTGGAGAAAATCGCATGCGTGGGTGTGTACCCGAAAATGTGCAAGCGAAATGACGTGTACACTTTATCGCATATAAGTGCGGTAACGTGCAATACGTTACGACAGGGCCGAGATTGGCGCATACGTATTGCTCCCTCAAAACTCGCGTGCGTAGTGGAGGGGTGACACACGAAGATGCGCAGTGAAATACCCGGACCGACGCATGCGTATTGCAGTCTCAAAACTGTCGCATGCGTAGTGAGAAATCGAGACTGCAACATGCGCAGTAGAGTGCCTGCCTGGCGCATGCCCACTACGGTGCGTGCTACACGCATGTGCAATACGGTGCCAGCAAAGCGCATGCGCAGCACGCTGCCAGCGTGGCGCATGCGCACTACGGTGTCAAACTGCCGCATGCGCATAAGGGTTCAAAACCGGCGCATGCGCAGTACGGTGACAGCACAGCGCATGCGCAGAACGGTGCCTGTCTGGCGCATGCGCAGTAAGGTATATGACAGGCACATGCGCAGTACTGTGCCAGTCTGGCGCATGCGCACAAGCGTACTAGCACGACGCATGCGCAGGAAGGTTCAAGACAGGCGCATGCGCAGTACGGTCACAGCCCGGCGCATACGCAGAACGGTGCCAGCCTGGTGCATGCGCATTACGGTGAGTGCTAGGCGCATGTGCACTACGGTGCCAGACGAGCGCATGCGCAGTACGGTGCCAGCCTGCCGCATGCGCACAAACGTGATAGCATGACGCATGCGCAGGACGATTCAAGACCAGCGCATGCGCAGTACGGTGACAGCAAAGCGCATGCGTAGAAGGGTGACTGCCTGACGCATGCGCAATACGCTATATGACAGGCGCATGTGCAGTACAGTGCCAACCTGGTGCATGCGCACAAGGGTGCTACCACGCCGCATGCGCAGCACGGTTCAATGATCGGCGCATGCGCAGTACGGTGACAGCTTCGCACATGCGCAGAACGGTGCCAGACCAGCGCATGCGCAGTACGCTATAAGACATGCGCATGCGCAGTACGGTGCCAGCCTGCCGCATGCGCACAAACATGATAGCATGACGCATGCGCAGGACGATTCAAGACCAGCGCATGCGCAGTACGGTGACAGCACGGCGCATGCGTAGAAGGGTGACTGCCTGACGCATGCGCAATACGCTATATGACAGGCGCATGTGCAGTACAGTGCCAACCTAGTGCATGCGCACAAGTGTGCTAGCACGCCGCATGCGCAGCACGGTTCAATGATCGGCGCATGCGCAGTACGGTGACAGCTTCGCACATGCGCAGAACGGTGCCGGACCAGCGCATGCGCAGTACGCTATAAGACATGCGCATGCGCAGTACGGTGCCAGCCTGCCGCATGCGCACAAACGTGATAGCGTGACGCATGCGCAGGACGATTCAAGACCAGCGCATGCGCAGTACGGTGACAACACGGCGCATGCGTAGAAGGGTGACTGCCTGACGCATGCGCAATACGCTATATGACAGGCGCATGTGCAGTACAGTGCCAACCTGGTGCTAGCACGCCGCATGCGCAGGACGGTTCAATGATCGGCGCATGCGCAGTACGGTGACAGCTTCGCACATGCGCAGAACGGTGCCAGACCAGCGCATGCGCAGTACGCTATAAGACATGCGCATGCGCAGAACAGTGCCTGCCTGGCGCAAACGCACTATGCTTCGTGCTAGGCGCATGCGCACTAAGGTGCTAACATGCCGCATGCGCAAAACGGTTCATGAACGGCACATGCGCAGTACGGTGAAACCTTGCCGCAAGCGCAGAACCGTGCCGGACCGGCGCATGCTTACAACGGTGCGTGCTAGGCGCCTGTGCACTACGGCAACGGACGGCCGCATGCGCAGTACGGTGCCAGACTGGCGCACGCGCAGAAGGGTGCCTCCCCGCCGCATGCGCACTACGGTACATACTAGGCGCAAGTGCAGTACGGTGACAGCCTGGCGCATGCGCAGAACGGTGCCTGACTAGACCATGCGCACTACGGTGCGTGCCCGGTGCGTGAGCGTTACGGTGGCAGCCTGGAGCATGCGCGCTAGGGTGCCAGCCTGGCGCGTGCGCGGAAGGTTGCATGACACACGCATGCGCAGTACGCTGCGTGATAAGCGCAAAGGTAGTACGGTGCCAAAAAGGCGCGTACGCAGGACGGCACCTGACAAGCGCATGCGCACTACAGCGCGTATTAGGCGCATGCGCACTACGGTGACAGCCACGCGCATGCGCAACAGGGTGCCTGGAGGCGCATGCGCAGTAGGGTGACGGGCTGGCACATGCGCAGTACGGGGCCAGCCTAGCGCATGCGTAGAAGAATGCATAACGCACATACGCAGTACGGTGCATGCTAGGCGCATATGCAGTAGGGAGCCAGCAACGCGCGTGCGCAGTACAGTGCTATACTAGCGCATGCGCAGTAGTGTGCCGGGCAACAGCAAGCGCACCAGGTTGCCAGCCTTGCGCATGCTCAGTACAGTGCCAGTAGGTTAAAAAAAGGGATTTCTATGAAAATAAGCGATATTTAAGGGGAAGAACAGGGATTTCTACGAAAATAAGCGATATTTAAGGGGAAGAACAGGGATTTCTACGAAAATAAGCAATATTTAAGGGGAAAAGCGGGGATTACTAGGAAAAAAAGCGATACTTAAGGGTTAAAAACAGGGATTTCTGTGAAAATAAGCGATATTTAAGGGGAAAAACAGAGATTTCTAGGAAAATAAGCGATATTTTAGGGTGAGAAACAGGGATTTCTAGGAAAACAAGCCATAGTTTACAAGAAAAACAGGGATTTCTATTAAAATATGTGACATTTTAGGGGAAAAACAGGGATTACTACGAAAATAAGCGATTTTTCAAGGGGAAAAACAGGGATTTCTACAAAAATAAGCGATATTTAGGGTTAAAAGCAGGGATTTCTGGGAAAATAAGCGATATTTCAGGGGAAAAATGGGGATTTCTATGAAAATAAGCGATATTTTAGGTTAAACACTGGGATATCTACGTAAATAAGCGATGTTTAAGGTCAAAAAGAGGGATTTCCATGAAAATAAACGATATTTTAAAGTAAAAAAGAGGGATTTCTAGGAAAATAAGCGATATTTTTAGGTAAAAAACAGGGATTTCTAGGAAAATAAGCGGTATCTAAGTGGAGGTACAGGGATTTCTACGAAAATAAGTGATATTTAGGGTTAAAAACAGGCATTTCTAGGAAAATAAGCGATACTTAAGGGTCAAAAACAGGGATTTCTACAAAAATAAGCGATATTTTAGGTTAAAATCTGGGATTTCTATGAAAGTAAGTGATATTTAAGGGGAAGAGC